AACCCCCAAAAAGCCTGTTTTGGGGCCCCCGGGCCCAAAAATTTTCCACTAAGAAAAGATCGGGGAATAGGATAAGTGATCCTGGTTTTATTTTTTCTTGTTTTATTATGAACCTAATATTGATGATAATTTGGGCAAGAATTAAATTGGTATATATTCAAAATGTAAACAATTACTGTTTTGCAAAGAAACAAACCAATTTTTTGGGATAAAATTGATGAATAAGGAAAACAAATACAAAAATAATCAGATCAAAATAAAGATCAATTTAAGGATCAAAAGATAAATATTTGGACCACCTGTAAAATGCCAATATCTTGCAAAAATAACAATAAGTTTTATTTAAAAATTTAAATAAACATGCTGATTACAAATCCAGTTTTATCATGTTTAATATTGAATTTATTCTATTAGGATTAACACTGGAGAATATTTGAGTTTTAGATCTAATCTGTGATTTTTGATCCTGATCCTTAAATCTTTGTGACACGGGGGGCCAGGTTTTTAACAGTAGGGACAAGTTTTGTTAAAATCAGGGGGATTTGACTTTGAAGTCGGAAAACTTAGTCAAAATGACCCTCAGGATTTCATAGCTATTGTTTATTCAAGTTTAATCATAATTACTAAACTGACATTTAGGAAATGGTAACTTACTAAGATCTTGTATTGACTATCTGGTAGAATTTAAATAAATCATTTGCTGTTCCCTGACCAATTGGGAAGCGACACTCTACATAAAATATATTTATAAACTGAGCGATTTAGAAAATTAGGATAGGATTCTCGAGTAATCAGATTTCACTTAGATTTAAGCCAATCAAAATTGGTCAGGTACCGCAATCCTTAAATGAGTACAAAGTGAACATACAAAATTTGATTTAATCAATTTGTTGAAAATTAACACTAATGGTAACAAATTAAAATGATGGTAAATTGACAGGATTTATTTACGGGTACTCAAGTCAACTACATAAATTAACGAAGAAATAGTATCATCTTCTTTTACAAAACTAAACCATAGAAGTTAATTTCTTCAACAATTGGTGATACAAATTACAAATACATATTATGCAGTAAAGCTTAATATGCTTAAAAGTACGAAAATATGGATATTATTATGTACTAACCTATAAAATGGCAGCTTCGAAAAACATTATAGGAAAATTTAAGGAATAAAGATATTTATAAAAATGAGTTCAATAGATGATGATGATCAATGACCAATTACTGATTATTTCATGTGAATATAATGAATACTACCCAAATGATGAGAATCAGACATATTAATACAAAAGTGAAGTTAGTATCTTACTTTGAAATATCAACAATCAGACATGAAAACCAGACTATGAAATATCAATAATCAGACATGAAAACCAGACTATGAAATATCAACAATCAGACATGAAAACCAGACTATGAAATATCAACAATCAGACATGAAAACCAGACTATGAAATATCAATAATCAGACATGAAAACCAGACTATGAAATATCAATAATCTGACATGAAAACCAGACCATGAAATATCAATAATCAGACATGAAAACCAGACCATAAAATATAAACAATCAGACATGAAAACCAGACCATGAAATATCAACAATCAGACATGAAAACCAGACTATGAAAATTTTAATATCAACAATCAAACATGAAAACCAGACTATGAAATATCAATAATCAGACATGAAAACCAGACTATGAAATATCAACAATCAGACATGAAAACCAGACTATGAAATATCAACAATCAGACATGAAAACCAGACTATGAAAACCAGACTATGAAATATCAACAATCAGACATGAAAACCAGACTATGAAATATCAATAATCAGACATGAAAACCAGATTATGAAATATCAACAATCAGACATGAAAACCAGACTATGAAATATCAACAATCGGACATGAAAACCAGACTATGAAATATAAACAATCAGACATGAAAACCAGACTATGAAATATCAACAATCAGACATGAAAATCAGATTAGAAATATCAACAATCAGACATGAAAACCAGACTATGAAATATCAACAATCAGACTATGAAAACCAGACTATGAAATATCAACAATCAGACATGAAAACCAGACTATGAAAATTGTAATATCAACAATCAAACATGAAAACCAGACTATGAAATATCAACAATCAGACATGAAAACCAGACTATGAAATATCAACAATCAGACATGAAAACCAGACTATGAAATATCAACAATCAGACATGAAAACCAGACTATGAAATATCAACAATCAGACATGAAAACCAGACTATGAAATATCAATAATCAGATATGAAAACCAGACTATGAAATATCAACAATCAGACATGAAAACCAGACTATGAAATATCAATAATCAGACATGAAAACCAGACTATGAAATATCAATAATCAGATATGAAAACCAGACTATGAAATATCAACAATCAGACATGAAAACCAGACTATGAAATATCAATAATCAGACATGAAAACCAGACTATGAAATATCAACAATCAGACATGAAAACCAGACTATATGACAGTTTGCTTCATCTCTTTCACATATGGAATTAGGGATGACATACAGTACATACACATATGTATCAAAAAGTGTTTCATATGACAAGAAATTTGCTATATGAAAAAATGTAAGATGATGTTGAGCGCGAATGTTGCTGTCATAATCTAGCTTGTAGCTACCACTCATTTTTTTCCCACTGCCCTTCCCTTTAAAGCCCTTTCCCCCACATTTTTTGCAAAACCTTTTATTTTGGGCATTTATAAGTAACAGAAAAAGAGGTGGGTGATTTTTAAAATCTTTGCAGCGTTTATTTCTCCCCCTTTAAATATTAAGTGATTTCCAATAACACTTAAAGCATCTCCAGTCTACCTTCCTTTTTTCCTTTGCTTTTTCCTAAAAAGATTTGATCATTTTCCTAAATGATTTAAAAAGGCTGTTCCCCGATGCCCAAAAAGGTTTTGGGTTCCTTTTTTTTTTTGGGGGGTTCGGGAAAAGTTTGAAAAAACCCAGCTTGTTTGGGGGTCATGTCTTCCCCAAATGGCTTAACTTTTTTACCTGTAGAAAGTTTTATCTTGCATTTATAAGTACAGACAAGAGTGTGGTGATATGAATCTTTGCAGCATTATTTCTCCCCCTTATATTAAGTGACTTCCAATAACACTGTAAAGCATCTCCAGCTCTACCTTCCTGTTCCATGCATTTTCCTAGAAGATTTAGATGCATTTTCCTAGAAGATTTAGAGCTGTTTCCCGATGTCCAAGGTTTGGCTCCTCTTTTATGGTTCTGATAAGTTTGAAGAGAACAGCTTGTTTCTGGTCATGTCTTCCTAAATGGCTGTGAACTTTGTACTGTAGAAAGTAGAGGTAAGGGAGGGAATCCACCACAGCACAATCCATCCAATTGTTGTCTTCTTCTGTACGAAACATTCTGTCCTCTTGTGTAGATCTAAACATTTCATATCTGAGTTCAGTTGGTACACAGTGAATTTCACATTGCAGATATCTAACACATGATGCTGTTATATACTGTAAGTCTTCTTCATTATGATTGTCACATAAATCAAAGAATCCTTGTCTAGATAGTTCCCTCTCAAATTGATAACAACTACAGACAGGCTCAACAATTTGTAGATCATATCTTCTTTCAATCTCACTGAGTACTGTGTCAGCTTTTTGTATTTCTTGTACACAATATAGAATTGAAGCTAGTTTCAGTTTACTTGATGCAACATCTGTATTCAGACCAAGTGAGATGAGTTTGAGGGCATCTGCTGATACAGTGTTGTAATGATAGATGTTTAGTGAAGCCAGGACAGATCCAAGTGTTGTACAATACCATGGTAACAGAAGATGACTGGCTGTCTTATCTAATCCTTCATATTGACAGTTGATTGTCTTCGATACATAGTTCTTTAATATTTCTACAGCTTCATTAGGACTACATGTACTGTCCTTAAGATGATGATTAATTTTTTTCAGTGTCATATATATATGTACAGCTAGACTAAATAACAGTGATTCTGAAATAATGTCACTTGTCTTGATTGTACATAAATTATAAAACTTGTGTTGAAGCCTGGAACCAAGATCATCACATTTAATCCCAAGAATTGCCACTCCTGCACTGTTGATGATATTGCTTAATATTTCCAGGATGTATGGTTTGACTGCAGGTGAAATTTTCCCCCTCATTAAATTGTTCCCAGTTATGATAAAATGTGGACAATTTTCATAAATGATATTGTTGTACAGGAGATATAAACACAGTGATAGACAAGAAAGTAAGTTATTTTCTCTCCAGATGTTATTATGTGTATTGGAAATACAATGGAAGAGTACAGTTTTACACATAAAACTTGTAATAACATCTTTAAACAGTGGATTTATAAATGTTTTTGAAATAATTTTCATCAAGACATAACAGCGAATCTGTATAATATTCAGGTTGAACATTAAACACCTTTCTGCTAAAGATGTTGATATTCTCCATTCAACTTGCTCATGTTCACTGCCTCTACATCCAACACCAACAACAAAGCATCCAGTTCTGCTGCAATATTGTTTCATTTCAGCAGATGGCCATTGACCTTCACCTTGCTGATCCAACCATTGTCTAGCTTGTTGTGGCCATGTTGTACAATGTAGAGCATACACAAAATCTATATCACTCAAGCCTTGTTGTCCTTGTTGAAAACCTGCTGGCCCATGTATTTCAAGGTTTATATTGAGTAAAGATACTATAAAATTCTTTAAAAGTAATTTTCCTGTTCTGTCTTTGAATAAGTATTGATTAGATTCACCATCTTCAGGAAGAGGAGCATCAGATCTCAGACGTTGAAGTAAACAATATCCAGGAGATATAGAATTATCTTGAATCATCAACAGATTATTTACACCAGGTATCCAGTCACTCCAGTCTTGGATTATAGGGAGGTCTTTATTGCAATATATATGATCTAGGTCTGATTGCAAATCTATTGTAGTTGTACCTTCTGATTGACTCCCAAAAATGTATGCTGAATCATTTCTATTAAGTTGTTGGAGAGTTATATTTTGTATTGATTCCATCAGAAGCCATGTTCTTCTCCTCTTCATCACTATTCTCTCATCAACACCTATATCAGCCAGAACCTCTGATAGCTTCATTGACACAGTCTGGTTGTAATCTGGTACTTGATACATTCTGAAAATATTATATTAATGTCATTAATGTTTTAAAATATTATTAAGTTTCTGAAATATGTAATTTCTTTACTTCTTTGCTGATTTTCCATTTAAGATCACCACAATCAGATTTTTTTTTATTGTTAAATGTATAAATTTTCCTTCAAAGATTTTAAAAGTGCTTGGCACAAATGATCCCCACCATGACACAATCTGCAGAGCTCAACATCCAGCTTGCTACACCCAAGGTCAAGTTCATATGTTCTCCATAATCTTAAATTTGACTATATGGAAGATTTTAAATAACTTGGCACAAATAATCACCATTGTGGGACTGTGCTTATGATATGCATGACACAACATTAAGGTCATGGTTGGTAAAAGGTCAAGAAGTACACATTCATGTTCACTGCAGAAGGGGATTTAGCTGTCCTTCAGACTGCCTTGTTATAGCCAGACAGCGCAGCCTGAAACTGTTTTGAGTTTTCTGAGGTAATTATACAGGTACTATTGTCCTTTTCAATTCAACATTTTACACTTTTGTACAGTTTTGAGTGCTGATTATTATCCTTCCGTTGGTATTGTTTCTTGTAGATGCAGTCAAAATATGGTCGCAAATTCAAAATTGAGCATAGCATATAATCTTTAATCAAATACAAAACTTTTACCTCTTTTTGAAATAAATTTTAATGAAACTTGTCAGTAGTATACAATAATCATTAAATTATTACCTGTTTGTTTATATCTGCAGAAGATTAAAGATCATGAAGTCACTAGATTTTCAATATTTAAAAAGCAAAACAAAAAAACCCCACTTTTTTCAGGAATTTCCCAGTTGCTACTAATTGGGTTTCTCTGGATTTATTTTTAACTTCCTCTTATGAAGATAACTCTGTTGTGCAGTTAGTTTATATCTGACATTTTTTATCTCCCTTTGATAAGTTTGTTTATTTTTACACTTTGAACTTTGTCCAGGACATAACTCTAAAAGTATAAGAGGTATCAACATGAAACTTTGTAGGTAGATAGATCTCATTGAGTAGGTGTGCAGTGCACAAGAACCGTAACTCTGCCTTGCCTAAATTTTGAATTATTGCCCTTTGTTTATTTTTACACTTTGAACATTGTCCAGGACATAACTCTTAAACTATAAGAGGTATCAACATGAAACCCTGTAGGTAGATAGATCTCATTGAGTAGGTTTGCAGTGCACAAGAACCATAACTCTGCCATGCCTAATTTTTGAATAATTGCCCTTTGTTTATTTTTACACTCAAACTTTGTCCGGGACATAACTCTAAAAGTATGAGAGATATCAACATGAAACTTTGTAGGTAGATAGATCTCATTGAGTAGAAGTGCATTGTTAAAGAACCATAACTCTGTCTTGCCTAATTTTGGAGTCATTGCCCTTTGTTCATTTTGACACTTTGAACTTTGACCGGGACATTACTCTTAAATTATAAGAGATATCAACATGAAACTTTGTAGGAAGATAGGTCTCATTGGGTAGAAGTGCATTGCTGAAGAACCATAACTCTGCCTTGCCTTTTAAGCTCACCTGTCACAAAGTGACAGGGTGAGCTTTTGTGATCGTTTTTCGTCCGGCATCCGTCCGTCCGTCGTCTTTCGTCCGTAAACTTTTGCTTTAAATGACATCTCCTCATAAACCACTAAGCCAATTTCATCCAAACTTCACAGGAATGTTCCTTTGGTGGTCACCTTTAAAAATTGTTCAAAGAATTTAATTCCATGCAGAACTCTGGTTGCCATGGCAACCGAAAGAAAAAACTTAAAAAATCTTCTTTTAAAGAACCCAAAGAGCTAGAGCTTAGATATTTGGCATGAAACATCTTCTAGTGAGTGTCTACCAAATTTGTTCAAATAAAAGCCCTGGGGTCAAAATTGGCCCCACCCCAGGGGGTCATTGATTTTCCCTATATGCATATAGTAAAAACTTAAAAAAACTTCTTTTAAAGAACCCAAAGAGCTAGAGCTAAGATATTAGGCATGAAACATGTTCTAATGGGTGTCTACAAAGTTTGTTCAAATAAAAGCCCTTGGGTCAAATTTGGCCCCGCCCAGGGGGTCATTGATTTTCCTTATGTGTGTATAGCAAAAACTTAAAAAAATCTTCTTTGAAAAAACCCAAATAGCTAGAGTTTAGATATAAAGCATGAAACATCATCTAGTGAGTGTCTACAAAGTTTGTTCAAATAAAAGCCCTGGGGTCAAAATTGGCCCCACCCCGGTGGTCTTTGATTTTCCTAAATATGTGTAATGCAAAAACTTAAAAATCTTCTTTGAAAAAAACCCAAATAGCTAGAGTTTAGATATTAAGCATGAAACATCTTCTAGTAGGTGTCTACAAAGTTTGTTCATATAAAAGCCCTGGGGTCAAAACTGGCCCCGCCTCAGAGGTGTCATTGTTTTTAACTATATGTGTATAGTAAAAACTTAAAAAATCTTCTTTTAAAAACCCCAATGAGCTAGAGGTTAGATGTGTAGCATGAAACATCCTCTTGTGGGTGTCTACCAAGTTTGTTCAAATAAAAGCCCTAGAATTTAAACTGGCCCCGCTCCGGGGGCCTATATACAGGAGAGCGACCTCAGGGCCATCATGGCCCTCTTGTTTAACCTTGGTGGAGCTCCTTGAATATTTTCACCAATACTAAGTATGAATATTTTCACAAGAATTTCTCTGATATTTTCAACATTCTCACCAATGTTATAAATATGATTTTCAGGTGTGCATTCACATATCACGATGCTATGCTGTAGCTTCTCAGTTCAAAGGTTGTCGTGAGAGAATCCAGGAGGAACCAACCATTATCCGAGACTTGTGTAGAATACTCTACTATAAGGTTGAATTTTAGCTCCTCCTCTTTCCTTAATTTGTTACTATTTTTAGATCAGACTCTGTAGTCTCCAAATAATTTTTAAACAACTTATGATGAAAAGTAAATAGCAATAACTGGAAAAAATTAATTAGTCTAGATAGAATTTGAAAAAAAAGGTGCTATGTTTTTATATCCTGGTAGTTAATGTAAATGTCTGTAATAAACAAAATATGACTAATTGATATTTAAAACCATGTATCACAACTAGAATCTTACCGTTGCTGTTTTATAAACCTGTCCAAGAAAATGGTTTGAAGTTCTTTAGAATCTGACTATAGCAATTAATAGAATAAAAATTATATTGTATATATCTGTATTGTGGTATTAACAGAGTAAATTAATCTATTCTTGTATAGGAAGTATAAATTTTGCATTTGTCACATTTCTTGAACAAGAAATTTCTCTGTGAAGTGTGAATTTTTTTTTCATTTTGAGTATATATAAAAAAAATAGGTAAGCATTATTTCCTATTACCCTATCACAAAGGTAAAAATGTTGCAGTTAGTTATGAATGTTTTGTATATATCTTTGTTTATTTCTTTTTCTTCAGAACTTGACGAAACTATGTACAGTGGTAGCAGACTGTATTAGTGCTTTCTGTGTGGACTTTTACCTTCAGTCACAACTGTTCCAGAGTGGTGTTCTCTGGCATTTGTTACTGTATTTATTTAATTATGATTACACCCTGGAAGAATCAGGGGTTGAGAAAAGTGATGAATCAAATAAACAGGAAATATCAAATCAGTTAGCCAAATTGTGTATAAAAGCGTGCGCCAGGCTTGGTGGATATTACATTCAACAGGAGGAAGCAGAAAGCCCACCAGATAATCCGGCGGTGAAGAAATCACTGTCGGCCATGTTGACACCTTACATGTCACGGAAATTAGCCAATGAGAATTCTGCAGAAGTATGTATATTGATTAGTCTGCCATATTATGTTTTACTTTTGAACCGTTTTTAGCTCGACTATTCGCAGAATAATCGAGCTAATGCAGTCACCCATTTGTCGGCGTCGGCGTCGGCGTCGGCGTCCCTGTGGTTAAGTTTTTGTATGTAAGCTGGTATCTCCATAACTACTGAAGGGAATGGATTGAAACTTCACACACTTGTTCTCTGTGATTATCTCAGATGATTGGCACAAGTCCCATAACTCTGATTTGCTTTTTTTCATAATTATGCCCCTTTTTCGACTTAGAAATTCTTGGTTAAGTTTTTGTATGTAAGCTGGTATCTCCATAACTACTGAAGGGAATGGATTGAAACTTCACACACTTGTTCTCTGTGATTATCTAAGATGATTGGCACAAGTCCCATAACTCTGATTTGCTTTTTTTTATAATTATGCCCCTTTTTCGACTTAGAAATTCTTGGTTAAGTTTTTGTATGTAAGCTGGTATCTCCATAACTACTGAAGGGAATGGATTGAAACTTCACACACTTGTTCTCTGTGATTATCTAAGATGATTGGCACAAGTCCCATAACTCTGATTTGCTTTTTTTCATAATTATGCCCCTTTTTCGACTTAGAAATTCTTGGTTAAGTTTTTGTATGTAAGCTGTTATCTCCATAACTACTGAAGGGAATTGATTGAAACTTCACACACTTGTTCTCTGTGATTATCTAAGATGATTGGCACAAGTCCCATAACTCTGATTTGCTTTTTTTCATAATTATGCCCCTTTTTCGACTTAGAAATTCTTGGTTAAGTTTTTGTATGTAAGCTGTTATCTCCATAACTACTGAAGGGAATTGATTGAAACTTCACACACTTGTTCTCTGTGATTATCTAAGATGATTGGCACAAGTCCCATAACTCTGATTTGCTTTTTTACATAATTATGCCCCTTTTTCGACTTAGAAATTCTTGGTTAAGTTTTTGCGTGTAAGCTGGTATCTCCATAACTACTGAAGGGAATGGATTGAAACTTCACACACTTGTTCTCTGTGATTATCTAAGATAATTGGTACAAGTCCCATAACTCTGATTTGCTTTTTTTGCATAATTATGCCCCTTTTTCGACTCATGAATTCTTGGTAAAGTTTTTGCATGTAAGCTTGTCTCTCCATAACTACTAAAGGGAATGTATTGAAACTTGAAGAGTTTGTACCTTTTCGGACAATTTATGTATTCATATAGGTAAGCATTATTATACTCAATGAAACACCCTTGTGACAAATTTTCGAATAGTCGAGCGTTACTGTCCTCCGACAGTTCTTGTTGACAGAATGTTTTAGGCTGTACTTCAATTCGTTGCTGTCACCTCTGACTAGTTCGGTTATACAATAACTTCAGTATCATGAATTTAATTTAAACATTAACCTACCTAATAGATAGAGAATCCCAATGGGGAGTTTTACATTTTTACATGTGAAGACACTATTCAGCTAGCTTACAGAACGATGGTGGCTCACTTTAGATGCCCATTTGTGCCTGATATAATGCATGGAGGGACACCAGAGGTCTTCCTTTACTAGTAAAGCTGGAATGCTATCATATGACCTTTACAGTGTTAGTGTGACGTTAAACCAAGCCCCCAAAAAAACTTAATAGATCAGTTTAAATGTTTTAACTATTACAGTTGTTAAAGATTCTAAACAGTAACACTGAGAACCCGTACCTGATCTGGGACAATGCCACCAGAGGGCAGCTTACAGAATTTCTCGCAGATCAACAACAGAAAATGATAAAAACTGTAAGTACTATCATTTTAATATCATGTGTTGTATTGTCCACTTTTATTGAGGGTCCATCCGCATGTTTTAGCACAAAAAAGTAGCTTTCATTATTGAGAATGGACCTTACATGACACCAGTCATCCCTTACAGAGTCAAGTTTGAAGCACAAAGGTCTTGTGTTTTAGATTTGTATTTCTGCATTACAAGAAACTCACAACGAGAATTATAATATTTATGTTGTCATTGCTCATGGCATATATAAATGAATTGATCAAGAAAATGGGAATCTCAAATGAAGACTGGCTGGCTACTGTTTGTCAGATGTACAAATTTGGTATGATACTGCTTTACTTTGATTTAACAGAAGATATTGCTCTCATGACTTGATATGATACATTGAAGATTTAAGCGGACTATGTGACTATACTTGAATAACTTTTTCCAGTAGGCTGGTCACTTAGTTCAACTCCAGATTTTGTTTCTGCTGTATAAATCTATACCTCTAAGGATTTTCTTCAAACTATTCTCATATTACCACCTTACAAAATAGTGTGCAGAAGTTGTAAGACATTTGAATGTGTTGCTTTATAAATCCTTTAGCTCCTATTGAAGGGTTTTCTTCAAACTTGGTTGCTGCTTCTGTGCAAGGTCAAGGACATCTTTGAAGGCCAAATGTAAAACAATGTTGTGTCCGCTCTATAAATTCTATATTTTTAAGGATATAAGGATATATTGCTCATATGTTCACCTCAGCAAAATGTTGTGCAAAATTCATGCCACCAATGTGCTAGCACAAGGCCAAGGTCACACTTGAAAGTCAAAGAACAGACCATTTTTTGTTTAAACTATACAGTCTACTCCTGAAAGGTCTACCATCAAACTAACTCCACAGATATACCTTCAAAATTAATGATCAATGGTGTATTTACTTTTGTGTCATTGAGGGGGCAGTGGTGTTTGCCACTCCTGTGGCAGATGTAGTTGATCTTGATCCTTAACCTTCTGAATTTGAATTTTGAACTTTCAATTTGTTCCATTGTTAAATAGTAAATTGTTTTAGGTGAGTGAAAAAAAAACAGCATGTAAATAAATTATGACTGCACATACAGGTTTGAAAGGATGTACCGGCCATAGTTTTTCATCATTTTCATTATCAAATTCTGTATATTATCATTATTATATATTTTCAGGGTGAATGTGACCAAGATTTTGGTGGTATGTTTGTGTTTGAGATACATGCCAAGGAGCTGATAGTTGGAGAAATATTTGTCCGAGTCTACAATGAACAACCTACATTCCCATTAGAGGTAATACATACTCATTGGTTCAACTTCATATAGTTCCTTATTTCCCAATGTTTTTACTTTAAAACTAATGATAACTTTGATGATGATGATAATAACTTTGATGATGATGATGATTATCTTTGATGATGTTGATGGTGATGATAATGACCATTAAATGACATTTTATTGCTTAGATTTTCACTTAACGCCTGGTTACAGTGACTATTTGGGCCATGATCTCAACTTGGCATACACTCAATATAAGCCAGAGTATGCCTCTGGTTTAAATTTACAGTAGTGTATTGGGGTGAAATAAAACAACTCCACTATCTGTGTATTTTATGGACATTTATGATAAGTACTGGTCTTGTACCAGATTTAGATTAAATTATTTTAAGTCATTTAATTTATCCCGAACTTTTGTGAAACCATCTGTTTCTGTGGTCGAGGGATTAGAGTCGATGACTTCTAATCCAGTTACCTCTCTGGCGTGGGTTCGATCCCCGGGAGATGCTTTGGTAGTTTAGCGCGGAGGAAGGTAGTCTTGTACTGGTGTAACTCTCCAGGAACCATAGTTAGGAAACTACCCGCCTATATGACTGAAATACTGTTGGGAAAAGGCGTAAAATGCAACAAACAAAATTTGTTTCTTACAAGTTCAATTTATGACAAAAAAGTTTGAAACAATTACTATGAAAACAATAAATAATTCATATGAGTCAAAATTGTGAATAGAACAATTAGTTATGTAGTTTTTATAATACCCAAATTTTATCATTTCAGAATGCAAAAGGATTTACTATTGATCTCTTAGACTTTCTAGGATCTCAAGCCCAGGTTGGTTTTCAATTCAAATTTTACATATATTGTATAATGCATTAACCCTTTGGCTGCTAGAAATTTATTTATCACATACCACTGTTGCTTTTGCAACCAAGTAAAAAAAACAGTATTGCATGGCTGTGCATATATTTTGTCATGACGCCATTTGCATTATACAAACATAGTGTAAAGACACACTAAATGTTAGCCTTTCACTATCAATGAAAAAATGATTCTTTTTTACGTAAACAGTTCATATTTTAGATTTTGATAAATTGAATATTATATTCATGTAGGTTCATTACAGAATTTTTTGAACTTTTTGAATATAAAAAATATTTTGCTCGCCAAAGGCCGACATATTATAATTATATTTAACACGTTCAATAAATTCAATATTGAACCTACACTCATTCAATATCGTCTATTTATGAAAATATAATGTATTTGCTGGGGGGGGGGGGACTTTAAAAAGATTTTACTTGCATGATAATGCACGGACAGACATGTTTGAAGTAAAAATGTATTGTCTGTTTAAATGTGCTACAAGTAACTAAGAATTTTATCATAATGTTTATTTCAGTATCTGCATTCCTTATTGATGTTAAAACAGTCTAACCAGAAATCGTCAGAAGAACAGGGTTCTAGTCAGATCAGTAGATTATCCCAGGTGGAGATGGCATTAGAAGCTTTAAGAAATGTCATTAAAAATAATCCAGGTATGTCATTGTCATGCACAGCCCCCAGGGGGGAGGAGGGCATTATAAGATCATGATCCCCCCTTCTCCCATCCGTCAGGATTTGGCTTTTATGATATCAATTCAAGGTTGAGATTCATGTGGGAAAAAAAACTTGCGTAAATTTCTGAGTTTACACTAATTATATGATAACCTGAATTCATCTTGGAAGTTTAGTAAATTCTATGCCTGATATTTTAAGCATACAATGATTAACCCTTGGATTTAAAAATTTCTTCCATCACGTTCTATGGTACCTTATAACAAAAGATAAAGAAGTATGTACTCCTTATTAATTGTAATGAAACATTTTTAAAAAAAACAAGTAGGTTGTTGTATATTTATCACCATGTTGATGAATTTCTTGTATATTTTCAGGTGTAGAGATACAATGTATAGGCCACTTCAAGCTGTTGTTTTGTCTTCTAAGGTTAGATAACTGTGCCAAACTTCAACAACTTGCTCTAGAGGTAAGGTTGGATTTGTGTAACAGGTAAATAGCTTTAAAGGGGGAAAAGTAGAGGATGAAATATGTTATTTTGTATGCTAGTTCAGTGTTAAACAGCTTGCTAACAGCTCATAAAAATTTTCTAATTGCCCCAATTTGGAAATATATCTGCTCGCAGATGATGGGGGTCGGAATATAGACTTGTCCTTGTCCTCACTGGCATGCTGTCAGTCTGTTAAATCAAATTTTTAGTTAATATGAGTTAGTAAATCTAAGACTTTGCTTGAACATTAAGCTCAAACAAAAGTAAATAATCAATTTTGGTAGTCAATAATTTGTGTATCTTTCTATTTCAAGTAGTTTGTTGTGTATTTATAATTTCAGTTAATCAGTTTTGTATATTCCTATTTCAGGTTGTAAATTGTGTATCAGCTAATCAGGAATGTGTTAAGGACATTGCTGCAGCTGAAGTCCTAAGTTACCTGTTACTCGCCATACAAGCTCTTCCAAGTTGCCGTGTTCTTACCTTAGAAAGTTTGGCCTCCCTCATGTCCAGCACCAAAATTGTGAAGGAAGCATTAGCTAAAGGTTAATGTTATTACTTGATTAAGTTTTAAGAGGATTTAAAATTGAATTGTTTTGTTTCAAAGAAATGGTGGCCTTGTATCTGCCTCTTAATTCAGGTAGGCATGGGTTTAAGACTTACTTGAACCATGGCCATGTTTTCTCTGAGGAAACTGATAATTGTAAGTGCCTGGTAGCAGACTCCGCAAACCAGACTAATATTAAGTTGCAATCAATCATTTTTGACTGACATTAATTTTTAGCTCACCTGTCACAAAGTGACAGGGTGAGCTTTTGTGATCGCTTTTCGTCCGTCCGTCGTCCGTCCGTCCGTCGTCCGTCCGTAAACTTTTACTTTAAATGACATCCCCTCATAAACCACTAAGCCAAATTCATCCAAACTTCACAGGAATGTTCCTTTGGTGGTCACCTTTAAAAATTGTTCAAAGAATTTAAATCCATGCAGAACTCTGGTTGCCATGGCAACCGAAAGAAAAAACTTTAAATATCTTCTTTTAAAAAACCATAAGAGCTAGAGCTTAGATATTTGGCATGCAACATCTTCTAGTGAGTGTCTACCAAGTTTGTTCAAATAAAAGCCCTGGGGTCAAAATTGGCCCCGCCCCGTGGGGTCATTGATTCTCCCTATATGCATATAGTCAAAACTTAAAAAATCTTCTTTTAAAGAACCCAAAGAGCTAGAGCTAAGATATTTAGCATGAAACATGTTCTAATGGGTGTCTACCAAGTTTGTTCAAATAAAAGCCCTGGGGTCAAAATTGGCCCGGCCCCGGGGGGTCATTGATTTTCCCTATATGCATATAGTAAAAACTTAAAAAATCTTCTTTTAAAGAACTCAAAGAGCTATGGCTAAGATATTGAGCATGAAACATGTTCTAATAGGTGTCTACCAAGTTTGTTCAAATAAAAGCCCTGGGGTCAAAATTGGTCCCGCCCCGGGGGTCATTGATTTTCCCTATATGCATACATGTATAATGAAAACTTAAAAAATCTTCTTTTAAAGAACCAAAAGAGTTAGAGCTGAGATATATAGCATGAAACATGTTCTAATAGGTGTCTACCAAGTTTGTTCAAATAAAAGCCCTGGGGTCAAAATTGGCACCGCCCCGGGGGTCATTGATTTTCATTATATGTGTATAGCAAAAACTTAAAAAATCTTCTTTGAAAAAACCCAAATAGCTAGAGTTAAGATATTAAGCATGAAACATCTTTTAGTGAGTGTCTACAAAGTTTGTTCAAATAAAAGACCTGGGGTTAAAACTGGCCCCACGCCAGAGGTGTCATTGTTTTTAACTTTATGTGTATAGTAAAAACTTAAAAAAAATCTTCTTTAAAAAGCCCAATGAGCTAGAGCTTAGATGTTTAGCATGAAACATCTTCTTATGGGTGTCTACCAAGTTTGTGCAAATAAAAGCCCTTGAGTTAAATTGGCCCCGCAACGTTGGGGTGGGGGTTGGGGGGCCTATATACAGGTGAGCGACCTCAGGGCCATCATGGCCCTCTTGTTTACATCATATGAGCAATTAATGTGTTATTCATCAAAATTGTTTACTACAGGATAGGTAATATTATTTTTAAAAAAATAATTTTTCACACAAACCTATGTGTTAACATTAATAGAGAAAACTGTTGTAGAGATGTTTCAGGTTTTTATCATTCTTTTGGCTTTAAATTTGATTCCAAACCATTCGGACTCCTGCATCTGAGGAAGCTATCCAGCTAGCTTAAAGAATGTTGATGGTTTTATCCAGGTGCTTGTTCGTGACTGAAATAATGCACAAACAGACACTTTAGGTCTTCCTCCACCAGTAAAGCTGGAAAGTGCCATATGACCTTTACACAGTTCATATGATGTAAAAAAAAAACAAACAAAAAACACACACACGCAAACAAACTTGTTTTGGTCATATAAGATTTCTTTGGGAAAAAAAACTTCAATATTACAATATTTCCTGGTTATATTTTCAGGGGCCACAGTCTATTTGCTGGACTTGTTCTGTAATGCCACAAATCCTGCCGTCAGAGAAAAAACTGCCGAACTGTTTGCCAAAATGTTATCAGATAAACTAGTGGGTCCGAAAGTGAGAATTATTCTTGGGAAATTCCTGCCAGGAATATTTATGGATGCCATGAGAGATTCCCCGGAAGCAAGTGTTCATATGTTCGAAGGTAACAATTCTTGTATTATCAGTAAGATGACACTTTAAAATTTACAATTTAGTTATCATAATTATGTGTGTCCCTTTTTTCTGACATTTAAAACTTACAAATGTAAATTGAGGGGAAGTGATGCAATTTTAATATGAAAGCTATATATACTTCCTATTTGAAATATATGGGGTTTTAAGAACACCAGTACAAAGTCAGATAAAGGGAGAAAGTGCTCTGTTTGTTAAAGGCACATTATGCCTCAAAAATAAAACATTTTTTACTTTCTTGAGAAAGAGCAAACAAGTTTTTTTAATGTTAAAATAATGCTGTAATAGTATGTTAGATGCCTATCACATGAAGAAAGTGTATCTATATGTGAAAATATTTGTGAAATTGTCATAAAAATACAAATGTAGAAAAATGTAAACAAAGTGGTATTTTGCCTTCCAAAGAAAATACTTAATCATTAAAACTGTGATTGCCAAAAACAACAGAAAAAAAGATGGTTCAGGTAATTGGCCAATGAGTAACTGTCTGGAGACAATAAAAGTAGACCAAAAATAAAAAGCTATTGAGAAATAAGAATAAAGGCATTTCCAGGACAGGATAGTCCTTTATAGTGTTTGCATTTTCAAACATCTTATTCAATATTTTCATAGTTATAACACTATGAACTGAAGAGAACAGAATGAATTAAAATCGCCCTTTTAAAGTACATGATTGAATTTAATGTGAGTGAACATTATAGATGTAGTGGATTAGTGTCATGTTATTATTTTGTGGTTGAATTTAGGTACACATGAAAATCCTGAGTTGATATGGAATGATGAGTCTAGGGAGAAAGTATCGAGTGAAGTCAAGAAAATGAAGGATCAGTAAGTGAAACTGTTTAATAAATGTCTATCAGTTACTGTTAAAAGATTAAAGATATTGTTTTTCTCTCTAGTGTTGATAGATGTTGTACTTTATAAATGACTTCTTAAACCTTAACCTGAAGCTTTATCTATCTTATGATGAAGGTTAAAATTATGCGAGGGACTTTGGATTCTTTTATTTGAAAAAGCTACCCAACTGGCTTATGGAATGTCAGTGGTTCTACTCGGGTGCCCATCATTTCCTGTAATAACTCATAAAAGAGATGGAAATTCACCAATAAATAAATTTTATAAGCTGTTTAAAACCATGATTTTAAGTTGTTTTGTGGTTTATCTATGTTCAAAGATCCAAAATTCCATAGAGAAGCCCTGCACATTTGGCTCCTTTCTTTAAAGTTCAACAATGTTGTTACAAAATATCAAAATAAGCTGCTTGTGCTACATTTGTTTAATTAAAGTGTTTTAAGTTTAAAATATTTTTATCTTACAGACATTATAGAGCACAAAGAGATAACCCTGATATCAAATGGAATCTTTCGGAAGAGTTTAACGTCGTTTACAATGAAGTTGCTGGCGAGCTTGTAGTTGGTGGTGTATTCTTGCGACTCTTTATCGCCAATCCAGGCTGGGTGCTACGAAAGCCAAAGGAATTCCTCACAGAATTGTTAGAAATTTGGTCAAAATTGGTAGCTCTTGATAAACCAGATGTAAGCCAAAAATTATCTAAGTGTTGAAAGATTTTAATCGTTAACCTTCTGAATTTATTTAATGAATTTTTCCTGCAGTTTATTCAAAGTTTAAGGGATATACCAAAACAGAGCAAACAACAGTATATAGCCTGACTAGATATTCAGGCTGGCTGGATCTATAGTGGTGGTAAATGCTAAACACTTAAAGTTCTTACATGTTAAAGGATAATTAGATTATAAACCACAGGTATTGTTTGATTGAATTTAAATGTAAATTTTGCAGTCTAATTTTTGTGTCGCCTTGAAAAGGTGACATATAGGGGTTACTTTTGTCGGCGGTGTCGGCGGCGTCTGTGTCGGCGTCGTTGTCGGCGTCCCCTAAAGCTTGTCCGGAGCATAACTCAGTCACTATAAGTCTGATTGACTTCAAACTTGGTATGCATGCTTCTTTCAATAACCCGAAGTGCAGTGCACAAGGACTGGTACTCTGCAGTTCTTATTTTTTGAGTTATTGCCCTTTGTTAATTTTCATACTTTAATTTTGTCCGGGCCATTTCTCTTCAACTAAAAAAGCTATGGACTTGAAACTTCATAGGATGATAGATCTCATTAAGAAGAAATGCAGTGCACAAGAACCAGTACTCTGCACTTCCTAATTTTTGAGTTATTGCCCTTTGTTAATTTTCATACTTTATTTTTGTCCGGGCCATTTCTCCTAATGTATAAAAGCCATGGACTTGAAACTTCATAGTATGATAGGTCTCATTAAGAAGAAGTGCAGTGCACAAGAACTGGTACTCTGCATTTCTTATTTTTTGAGTTATTGCCCTTTGTTTATTTTCATACTTAATTTTTTGTCCAGGCCATTTTTCTGAAAGTATAAATATTATGGACTTGAAACTTCATAGGATGATAGATCTCATTAAAAAGAAGTGCAGTGCATAAAAACTGATACTCAGCATTTCTTATTTTTGAGTTATTGCCCTTCGTTGCTTTTCATATTTCATTTTTGTCCTGGCTCTGCACTTATTATTTTTTTAGTTATTGCCCTTTGTTATTTTTCATATTTCATTTTTGTCCTGGCCATTTCCCCTAAACTACATTGTTCACAAGGCGACACATCCGACTCGCGGAGTTCTAGTATTAAAGATATTTTGAATAATGTTTAGTGATTAGTGTTACTTAATATTGTATATAAACATGATACCTTTATCAAATTATCTTAGGGAGTAGGGATGGGATTTATTTATTAAGACGGACAAATATTTTTACTCCTGAATCTATCTTTTTCAAATGAATCATTTTATTATTGATCAGGGAGAAAAATTGGAGACGTTAACAAGCGCAGTTGTTTGTCTGTTTTCAAGTAACAATAGTTTACTTGACCAAGTTCCGTCCCTTGGATATATCCCCAAAGTGTTTGCAGCAATGAAGCAGAAAAACGATGCAATACCAAAAAGTGCAATACAAGTGTGTCATCAGTTAGCATCTAATGAGGTAAAATATTGTTGTTACTTTAATCATTCAGTTTTAGTTCATGTCAACACTTGGCATGTTTAATTTGTATACTTTGAATAAATGTCATTGTCCAAACAAAAACCAACTTGAAGGTCCTTGAAATTGTCTATTTTTTAAGTGGATTGGTCTACAATCTTTGCACATTTTCCATAATTATTTCAAATATTGATAAGGCAATAAAAAAAGGTATCATTTGGATTTTGCTATAAAATATTGATTGAACAAAAAATGCTTATCAAGTTCTAAGAGATCCTGTATTAACATTTATATTATTAGTTTTAAAACTTTTTGACAGGTTATACGGCCCTATATAAATGTCTGTTTAGAAATATAACCTGAGCCACTAGGCAAATGTTATTTTGCAAACAACCGTTTATATAGGGCCATATATCCTGTCAGGAATATTTAAAACAATTTTATAGTACAGCAGACTTCCTTGTTGAGAAAAAAGTGAGATTTCTTAGAAAATTGATAGCAACCACTTATAAAACTATATAAATGTCACGATTATCCAATGAAAAGTGCCTTTACAAACATGCAGTATTATAGGATGAGAAATAATATTTTGTTCTAGAACACTTTATTATCTGCTATATTATATAACTATATATAATATAGGATCATGTAACTTGCATGTGCCAATCGTGTTTCTATAAACAGATTTGTATACGAGCAATGGCCCAGGTTGAATCTATAGGACCAATCAAAATAGCAATGAAAATACGCAGAGATGCAATAGCCCTTGCTGCCGAGGCTCTCAGTAAAATGTTCGACAAAGGGGAGGAGGAGTTAGTTGCTCAGGTTAGTAAAATATTGGTTACTAGGACAGTCCTTGGTAATAAACATTTAAAGACAAATTTTGAGCCATAGAAATTTTTAAAAATGCAGTCTGTTGGTAATAGGAGAAATATGGGATGGGACTAATTTAAAAGTTTAAAAGGATGATTGAGAAGCAATCATGGTGTTTATTGAATATTAGATAGATGTGGACGTCTAATTGGCTTCAAACAATTGAATATTGTGGGAAAGAAAGGCAAAATTTAGTCCCTTAAATTAGACTTTTCAGTTTTGCAATTTGATATTTTCATATTTTCATTAATAATAGTAATTATAAAAAGTCTTCTTAAAATGAAATTAATATTTTTTAACTTCGCAAAGCAAGAAGTGACTTTATAAGAAAATAATCAAATCATAATTAAATGTTACTTTCCATGGTGTACTATTTCAGGCTTTAAAAACAGAAATGGTGCAATATTTACTCAGACTTTTAGAAGCCGGTCTCGAATCACTTGATAATCCAGCGTCCACAAAAGCTCAGATTGTCAAAGCTCTGAAAGCTATGCAGAGAAGTCTCCAGTATGCAGAACAGGTGAGTCTGTTTGACTGGTTACAATTTTCTTTCAGTCCACTAACATTTTAAAATGGACTGGTTTTGTTTTGAATTAAGAATTCTTTTTAAATGGACTAATCCAGTTTGGAATTTGGAATGCTCTGAATAACATTCAAGCAGTTTTATAATTGAGGAGATAACAGTGAATAAGCATTTATTAGACTGTAATTGAAGTGAGTGTTAGATGAATAAGAAAATAAATCTGCTGTATTTGTGAAATGGATTTGCCCTGCTTTGAATTTGAAAAAGTTCATCCAGGGCTTAGGGAGTTTGATATAAAGATACAAAAAATGAGGTGTCAACAGCATAGAGCCTGGTCAGACTTATCACTTCTAGTTTCAGGAGGATAAAAAAAATATGTTAGCTTTTTGCATCAAAACTTGACAAACAAATATTTCTTACATTTCATGCATATTTTTTCATATACATGTATGTGTAATTACATATAAAAGTCTAATAAAATCCAAAACTGAATTTCTTTTTTAATCTACTGGAATAATATACGAAGTTTGTTAAAACTTAAGATTGAATAAAAGATTTTTTGTATATCAATCTAGATCAACACAATTCTGGATGGTTCGCTTACATGGCGCGACTACAAGGATCAGAAACATGACCTGTTTATATCAGACAACCAAATTGCCGGCTATCTCACAGGTAAATATAGTATATTTATATATTTTCATGTGCTATTCTTCTAAGGTGCAAATAATAAAATAGAGTTTAATGCAATAAAATGTTAACCGGTATAACAGTACAATGTTAAAATAATATTGTGTTCTATAAATCCATGGATGGAGTTTTACTTTATGGCATTGGACTCTTTCAGGATTACATATGATATACATTTCTTACTGTTAACTCTTGCTATATATATATATATATAATTGAGCCGCGTCATGACAAAACCAACATAATGGGTTTTCGACCAGCATGGATCCAGACCAGCCTGCGCATCCGCGCAGTCTGATCAGGATCCATGCTGTTCGCTATCACTTTCTCTACTTGTTTTAGGGTTTGTAAGTGAACAGCATGGATCCTGATCAGACTGCGCGGATGCGCAGCCTGGTCTGGATCCATGCTGGTCGCAAACCCATTATGTTGGTTTTTTCATGACGCGGCACAATATGTTTATACATGTAGAATCTCATACCAGTTGTCATTACATATAGACTTATATAAAACAAATTTAAAAACAAGCCATCTGTGAACTTTATCATCACTCTGTGAAGAGTATATTTAGGGTTCGAAATTCAACTAGCAGAATGGTTTTAACTTGCAAATTTTGTCAATGAAAGAAAAGAGCACCTGAAAAGCACTTTGCGTTTAAGTAGGATTTTTTTACACTTTTACAACAAATAGTTAACTTTGGCTATGAGAAGTATTAGATATGTTTTGAAGTGGCCTGCCTGACCAATAAAGCTTTTGCAAGTAAACACTCAAATATTTGATGAAACAAACTAACACTGAATGTCATTGACAGTGGTGTAAGCTTTTTGCAAACAAATTTAATGAATGATGGGAGCTAAACAGCCAACTCAGTAAATTCAAATTAGAGAGTTTTATTTCTCATTTTGCAAGTTCATCAGACAGTCACTTGGAAAAATTTACTAGTGGAAGAAAATGGGAAAATTCTGCCCCTTTATTTATATAAGTTTATATGAAATGACACAAAATGTGAGATTCATTTTATGTGATGTTATAAAGCCCAAAAAATGGTAAAAAAAAATGTAATGAAACATTACAGTTGCCATTTAGCATGCTGTTTTTAAACACCATGGACTTTACAAAAAGTTGTTTTTTTCTAATGACCTTTTGAGTAAACTTAAATCAAACAAATAGAACTTTGTGTATATGTTAATATTTACTGTATTATGTTTTGTGGTGTAAAAGCTCAGTAAATTCCTATTTTCTCATAATATTAATTCAAATTTCTTTTTCACCTAACTCCCTTTCATTATAGCCACTGTTTGGATATATATATATATTCATGTAGATTTAGCATTTTATTTCCTTTTAAGAAAAAGAAAAAAAGAGATTAATTTTATTGTTTCCGCTTGTATTTGAAACCTAGGGGTAAAAACTGTGTTTCATTTTTAGGAGATATATTATAAAATTCTGAACACCTTTGGGCATAAATTTACTCCCATATTAGGGATGGGGGCTGTAAAACAGTTATCATATCATATTTTTGAAGAAGAAAGAGCTTAAATCATTCAGTCAAAGTCTTCTGATTTAATAGGATTTAATGTATTATGACCATCTATCCATATGATTGTTATGTTGTCTGGAAAAGTTTTCCATGTTTACTTAGTAGGGATATTTTTTAACTTACATATCAGATTATAATATAGAATGTCATGATAATTTCTTTCACAGACAAGGCACATCAAGGTAATTGGATGAATGAACACTTTGAAAGTTTGTCTGACTTACTTTAAAAATTTACTGCTTTAAAATTTGTTATTGTTGCTGATTGCTTTACATGGAGAATAAACTGACTAAAGCAATGATTGTTGTTATTTGTTCTTAAAGGGACTCCACTAAGGTGATTTGACATGATGGGACTGGAAATAATATTTCAAGATTAATGTTTCATTTGATGAAGGTTTCGATCAGCTACTTGTGTCAGAAAACTTGCTCTTTCCATTTTGAAAAATGACACAAAATTGCAATCCTTTTTACTCGAGAATAACACAGAAATACAATTTTCTGAGTATATTTCATAATTATCTTTTGAATATCTTTCTTTTTCAAATGTCCCAGCTGATCTATGTCAGAAATTCAAATTTATATTTTTAGGCTTATGGACCTCAGTGAAGTTCCTTTAAAACATATATTTACAGTTCATGTGTGTTTTTCTAGACTGACTGGGAACAAAATTATTTTGGCATTATGGGGTATATAAAGTGAGCAGAATATTTGTGGCGTGGTCTCCATAACTCAATATACAAGTGTCTAATATATGAAGAGTCAAAAGCAAGACTCAGCTTAAAAGATAATGTGCATTTGAAAAACTCATCTTGAAGAATAGAAAAGCACCTCAAACTGTGAATAAGAGGGATAAATATGCATGGACTTTGGTAACTTTGGATAGTAAAGGGGTGGGATTTGATTACAAATTAAAAAGGGAATCAAGACCTGTCAGACTTTTATCACATATAATGAATTTTTTTTAGTCTTTATTATCAAGACTGGTAGGAAGAAAAGGCTAAAAAAATATGCTTGTCCATACTCTTGGAGACAAGTTTGGCTGGATGGTTAAGGTTGTTAACTTCAAATCACATGTCCCTCACCGGTGTAGGTTTGAATCCTGCCAGGGACTTTTGATTCTTTATGCGAGGAAGCTATCCACTAGCTTTGGGAATGTCGGTGCTTCTACTCAGACTCTAACTAATGCTTGAGATAATAATGCACGAGGGTCACCTGAGGTCTTCCTCCATTAGTGAAGCTGGAAAATTGCCATATGACCTACTGTGCTAGTGCGACGTAAAATCCCCAACCCATAGTCTGTACAATAATATTCCACATATGTACTTCTATTTAAAGCATCAATACATAAGTTATAAGTTCATCATGCTACATATATTAAAATCTTTCTCATTCTGGTAAATGAAACTATGCAGGGGCCTTTAAAGATATTGGAGGTTTTATCTTGACTTTTAACAATGTATTTGGGGACACATTTGGGTGTTTCTGCATTAAATAAGTTTAGTACACTTGGAAACATGTCATATGATTCATTAATGTGATAGAAAATCCCAATGAATGGACAGACATCATTAGGTTATCTGTTTGTCTGTCTTCATTTTCATCTTACAACTATACATATTTTGACTCACACTTGAAACTAGAATCAGTTGCACAATTTAGTAACATTAATTCTGGGATATTTTATTTGATCTTACTTTTGCTTTGTTCTTTTAAAATCTATCTACTGATTTACATGTATACGAGGGTTGTTCAAAAAGTAATAGGACTGAGAGTCTTGCATATTCATATTTCATCCAATTTAGAATATTTCCATATGTATAGGGATCGTAAAATGTTTTCTACAATTTATGCATAAGTTTATTAATTTATTGTGATGAACACGTGTTTCCTGTGTTATTGAATAACCATTGTAACATGCACCCGGCGCAGCACATAGAAATAGTTATTGAAGCTAAGTGGTACTTCTAATTAATATATAATTAATACTCTGTTTGTCCATTCCACCAACACATTTATATTTAAGTGACATTATATCTAAATTTGATGTCATTTGGGCATGAAATGGCATAATTATTTAGTTTTGAACAGATGTGGTCATGACGTTAAATGTAGAAATTCGGCACTCGGTAACAAACAGAAACAAACAGAAATTCGTGCGATCGTTAAATTGTGCCAACAAATTGGCAATATTCTTTCAGAAACATACAAAATAATAAAATTTAGAAAAGAAAATTATCCTGCTATCAGGACACTCGTTTTCAGCTGGTACAATCAATTTAAAACGGCGAATACAAAATCACTTACAGGAGAGGGTAAGGATGAAAGCAGAAAATTGACGGAACGTTAGTGACATCAATTGCAAATGCTCTGTAAATGGGGACGCGGACTGTCCGGCAATTTTTATGTCTGTTTGGGTCTACTTTTTCAGTTTTCACCAAATGTTTGAATATTATGACGTTTCTATCAAACACAATTTTATTTATCTCATTAGATATACGTGGCTTTAATAAACTTAGATAAAAATGATTAACGGTAATGATTAGTAACGACGTCATGAACGTCATTTATTGTATTGTCAGCGTGCGCTGGGTTTCGTACCCCTCGTCATTTGAAAATTTCACAGAATTGTTATCTGTAAACATTTTGTATTGATTTTTTCACTGTATATAGAGAACATGTTCCGATATTTGTTTCTTGTAAAATTATGAATGTAAATTTAAAAATGTGAACCGTAGCGCTGCAGTCCTATTACTTTTTGAACAACCCTCGTATCTGACTGTTAAAGCAATATGTGTACATTAGAATTTGGCTTTATGCAAAACAAGTGTAACTCATGAAATATTTCAATGATTTTTATCTTGAATATATCATTATTTTAGATATGCATATATATGGAAGAGCTGTCCTTACCTGAGCATTGGCAGTTAATGTCCATGTTAGGCCTAACCTTGGTTAAGTTTTTTGAACAACTCCCTTTTTCTTCATGGGACTTGAGTGTTGACAGTGTCTTGTTAACAACAATTAACTCTACTTTATGCAAAGAGTGCTAAACTCTGTCTTGGAATTAAAAAAATTATGGCCCTTCTTCAATTTATACATTCACACCCGCCACAACACTCCTTTGTCCTCTGTGATACTTTGTTATTAAGTGGAATATTTATTTTCTTAAAAACATAAATCTGTTAAAATATTGATATAGTCATGCCTCTTTTTTCATACACATGTTTCAAGGCATGTCCTTATTCCACTCTCAAGAATTGAGAATAGTCATATGCACTGTCTGATATACAGCCCTTGTTTAAAAATAACTTTTTATTAAAGAGAAAAAACAACGGAGTTACAGACATTTTGCTGTTCTTGCTTTATGTATTAAGTTTTCTCAAGTCAGACTGGCTTTTAATATTACTGTTGTGTAAAAAGTGATATTCAAAAAACTAACCAGTGTTAAAAAAAAACAACAAGAAACTAACATGAATGTGTCACTTACACTTCTGTATCTACATGTTTATATGCTTGATTATAATAATGCTAGACTGTGTATCGGTGTTTGGTACATCAATAGCATGTATAGATTTGGCAAACTTTGTACCAGTCTATTTATTTTAAAAGTCATTTTATGACCCAATTTTTACTCTTCGGGCATGTTCATTGGTTTTAAAGGGTTACTCTCCCTGGTCATTGGGTGGCGGAAGAAATTTTTATATATATCAAGTGACATTGTGTCCATCTAAGGGTATATACTGAGTGAACAAGTTAAAGTCAAAATAAGTTTATATTTTGTCAAAATTTCTTTCAATATCATAACTTACTTCTTATGAAATTTCTTTAAACATCCATCAAACATTATTATTCTGTAATGTTCAATTGATAAAAAGAGTGGCAGTCTTTTAATAGTTTAAAGCAGATTTATATTTTTATGCCAAACGATTTCCAGTATCAACTTTTGGTCAGTCACCATAATAACAGTCAATCTTTTGAAATATATAGTCATTTTAGTTCAATGGAAAGAAGAGCATAATATCACTTTAAGATGAATTGGCTACTAAAATAATTAACCCTGGTATAGAGCCAGCCTACACTTCAGTGCAATCTGACCAGGTTCTATACTGTTAGTCACTCAGTTTTTGTATTTTAATATTTTCTTTTTAAGAAACCCTGCAGGTATTTGGTTTACAAACTTGACTTTAGGTGAAGGTTTTTAGCTCACCTGAGTTTGCTCAGGGTGAGCTTTTAGGATCGGTGAATGTCCGTAGTCTGTCGTATGTCCACAATTGCTTGTGAACACTCTAGCGGTCACATTTTTGAACCAATCATCATCAAACTTTGTCAGGATGCTTGTTTAGTCAATTGCTTGGATGAGTTCGAACATGGGTCATCTCCGATGAAAATCTAGGTCACAGGAGCTATAAATAGAAAAACCTTGTGAACACTCTAGTGGTCACATTTTTGACCCAATCATCATGAAACTTGGTCAGGATGCTTGTTTAGATAATAGCTCGGATGAGTTCGAATATGGGTCATCTCGGATGAAAAACTAGGTCACTGGAGCTATAAATAGAAAAACCTTGTTAACACTCTAGCGGTCACATTTTGCATCAATCATCATCAAACTTGGTCAGGATGCTTATCTAGTTGATAGCTTGGATGAGTTCGAACATGGGTCATCTCGGATGAAAAACTAGGTCACCGGAACTAAAAATAGAAAAACCTTGTTAACACTCTAGCGGCCACATTTTTGCATCAATCATCATCAAACTTGGTCAAGATGCTTGTCTAGGTGATAGCTGGGATGAGTTCGAACATGGGTCATCTCGGATGAAAAAGTAGGTCACCGGAGCTAGAAATAGAAAAACCTTGTTAACACTCTAGAGGTCACATTTTTGCATCAATCATCATCAAACTTGATCAAGATGCTTGTCTAGGTGATACTCTGCATTTCTTATTTTTTGAGTTATTGCCCTTTGTTGATTTTCTTACTTTATTTTTGTCCTGGTCTTTTCTCCTCAAGTATGAAAGCTATGGACTTGAAACATGGGTCATCTCCGATGAAAATCTAGGTCACAGGAGCTATAAATAGAAAAACCTTGTGAACACTCTAGTGGTCACATTTTTGACCCAATCATCATCAAACTTGGTCAGGATGCTTCTCTAGTTGATAGCTCGGATGAGTTCGAACATGGGTCATCTCGGATGAAAAAGTAGGTCACCGAAACTAAAAATAGAAAAACCCTGTTAACACTCTAGCGGTCACATTTTTGCATCAATCATCATCAAACTTGGTCAAGATGCTTGTCTAGGTGATAGCTCGGATGAGTTCGAACATTGGTCATCTCGGATGAAAAAGTAGGTCACCGGAGCTAAAAATAGACAAACCTTGTTAACACTCTTGCGGTCACATTTTTGCATCAGTCATCATCAAACTTGGTCAAGATGCTTTTCTAGGTGAAAGCTCGGATGAGTTCGAACATGGGTCATTTCGGATGAAAAACTAGGTCACAGGAGCTAAAAATAGAAAAATCATGTTAACACTCTAGAGGTCACAATTTTGCCTCAATCATCATCAAACTTGGTCAGGATGCTTGTCTAGGTGATAGCTCGGATGAGTTCGAACATGGGTCATCTCTGATGAAAAAGTAGGTCACCGGAGCTAAAAATAGGAAAATCTTGTTAACACTCTAGCGGTCACATTTTTGCATCAATCATCATCAAACTTGATCAAGATGCTTGTCTTGGTGATAGCTCGGATGAGTTCGAACATGGGTCATCTCGGATGAAAAACTAGGTCACAGGAGCTAAAAATAGAAAAAACCTTGTTAACATTCTAGTGGTCACAATTTTGACTCAATTGTCATCAAACTTGGTCAGGAAACTTGTCTAGGTCATTGCTGGGAATAAATTGAACATGGGTCATCTCGGATGAAAAAGAAGGTCACCGGAGCTAAAAATAGAAAAATCTTGTTAACACTCTAGTGGCTACTGTTGTAATCCAAATATTCTGTTAATTGGTCTGAAAGTTTGTTTTGATGATTTCTAAGTCAAGTTCGAACATGGGTCATCTTGGATGAAAAACTAGGTCACACCGCCCAAATATGGAAAAACCTTGTTGACATTCTAGTGGTCACATTTTCGACTCAATTATCATCAAACTTGGTCAGGATGCTTGTCTAGGTAATTGCTTGGATGAGTTCGAAATCGCATGTGGAACTAGGTCACCGGAGCTAAAAATAGAAAAATCTTGTTAACACTCTAGTTGCTACTGTTTTGATCCAAATATCCTGGAAATTGGTCTGAAAGTTTGTTTTGATGATTTCTAGGTCAAGTTTGAATATGTGTCACCTGGGTAAAAAACTAGGTCGCACTGCTCAAATATGGATAATCCTTGTTAACACTGTAGTGGTCACCTTTTTGACTCACCTGTCATGAGACTTGGTCAGAATGCTTGTCTAGGTAATTGTTTGGATGAGTTTGATAAGTCAGGTGAGCGATCTAGGGCCATCATGGCCCTCTTGTTATAATAAAGCTGTTTACATCGATGGCCTCCACTTTTGTCTAAAGATCAAGTGCATATTTTTTTGTTGTGTTTGTTACTGAACTTCCCGTGCAGAAAATGAACAAGAAGTCCTGGGACTATCCCAGGAATTCCTGAGAAATCTCAGGAATTTGTCCTGAAAAATCCCAGGATTTCCTGAGAAATCCTGAGACTTTTTTCACGCCGTTAAATGGGACTGGACAATCCCAGGAACTTCTTGAAAACAGGAAAAAACAGGAAAAATATATTGCTCTGCTATCCCAGGAATGTCTTGTTCTCAGGACAGTCTTATAATCCCAGGAAAGTCCTGTTCCCAGGACAGTCCTGTAATCCCAGGAAAGTCCTGTTCCCAGGACAGTCTCATTATCTAATAAATGTCCTGTCCCCAGGACAGACATGTAAAAATGTAGAAAATAGTAAAAGCTGCTTTGAAATACTAATTTAATGTTTAAAAATATTTATTTTATAATATTTCATCACATTTTATATGTATATGATTATTACATAATTATAATTGAAGGGATTAGAACAAAAGAAAAACGTACTATGAAAAAAATCACACACTATTTCCAATGTCAGCAAATTAGAACTTAAGATCCATGAAAGTTTATAGATTTGAGAAAAAACACTCTGAAAAGTTTGACTGTGATGGCAACTAATGAAACTAGCTTTGATTCACAAGTTAACAAACTTTTCCTGTATGTCATTTACATCATTTTGCTCTCAGGATAACTGTCATTTTCTTCCAGCTGACTATCTCCCAGACTTGAACTCAGTTGGCACTCTGACTGACACTCTGACTCCTTCATTATTTCTGTAAAAAAAGACATGTTTAGCAATACTGAGTACAGTTCTATTCTTTTAAGCAGTGTAACAATTATTTATCATAATGTGTTAGTATAAATAAACCAAATTCTAGCCCCCTTAGCATTTTCAAATTTAACAAAAATGTGCATATAATTAGCATGAGAAGAAAAAGGTCTTGTTCAAGTGATTTTTAAGAAATGACATAATCACCCTGCATTTAACCTGCCTACAACAAGACTTTGACTTCTTTCTTTAAAAAATCAATTTAAAGAAGAAATGTGTTCTGATTTTTAATTGTCTTTTATTTCAAAAATAAGATTTGTTCATTGTAATGGAGAAGAAAAAGTTTTGTTGAAATTAAAGTTTTGTAATATCAAATAAGCAGTGATGTCATGAAACTTTACATGCAATATAAACTCAAGTGGTGGCATGGCCAAATGCAGGTTAACAAATCAGACCAGTAATCTAAAGATTGCTTGCCATATTGGTTTAAACCCTGTCAGCAAGCCATTGTTTCATTGAGAAAGAAACTTTACACTTATAATGCTTAGTACTGTTGGTTGCAGAATAATTTATTGCTTAGAAGTTAGATGTAAAATTCAACCAAGGTAAGAAATGCAACTTTAATTAAAATAAGAATTTTAAAAGAAAGATAACAAATGGTTTAAAATAATTGTGCAATGAATTGTTTTCTTCCTGGGAAAGATTCAGAATAGTCAAATATAGAGATTAAAAAAAATAAGGCAATTACCTTTTGGGGCTCAATACTGCACATCATTATTCACCTAGCATCTCGGAGTCAGACTCAGAACTGGTCCCACTTTTAAGCCTGCAATTTGTGTGAAATCTAATATCAGATTTTTCCATTGAAAACAACACAAAAAATGATAAATAATTATGATTCAGCTGCACAAAACTTACTGACAGGTGTCAGTATAGAACTGTACCATTTAGTCCTCATAATTTTAATTTGTTTCACATTATTTTAAGTTGCAGAAATGTAAAAGACGTACAATCTATCTATTTATATGCTATTTTGTATATTATATATGTTACAAATTAATTTGACAATCAAATCTAGATTTAAATCAATTGTTAGTAAATCAATGTATGAAGTGGTTACAAATTTTAGTTTGCTACCTTGATTGTTTGATATACATATATAACCTGTTTCTGTATAAATGTAACTTAAGGTTTAATTACCTGATTCTGTTGTATATCTCCTTGTCCAAGGTGATTCTGATTCTTGTCATTCTTATTAACCATAACTATACTTATTAAACTTAAACACATTATCATCTTAAACAAAACAATATCTCCAAAATTGCTTAAACATGAAGTAGATCCTCTGTAATTTACACTATTTCCAAGCTTCTAGCTGACCATTCAAACTGGACAGGTACATCATTAGGTAAAACAGGGTTAATCCAAAAATCAAAGCAGTTATCATTTTATATAACATTCATTGAATGTAAAAAACCACATCAAATAGCTAATAGATAAGTAGATTTAAATAATCATGAATTTAATAAAGAAGAAAAATTGCAATGTCCTAGACATATTCTGCATAGCATTCAAATTTGTAATGTTACCTCTCCCCAAAATAATCACATGGAACAGTCTGATTTGTAGGAATGACCAGTGAATGACCAGAGAGTAAATTAGTCATGCACATATGGTGGGAGAACAAAGGTGGCCAGTTTTATCAGATCTTTGATCTGTGTGGTGTAATATCTAAGTGGGTGTAGTACTTATTTATCCTAAGTGTATCAGGCAAAATTTGGTTCCTTGATTTGAAATAGATAAAAAGGACAGTTTCATGAGCTGTTTTATTTCTGTTAAATATCTAAAATACAGGCCTAAATGTCTAAAAAAAATTACACCTGTCTCTCTTGGTAAAATTTCAAACTTGAGCAAAAAAGAAATGTAAGAAGTACAATAGGTTGAAAACATAATTATACATTTCAATGTTTGTAAGTGCAAAAAAAACCAATAGTAGAATAATGCTTTGGGTAACTTTTATGTGAATTGTTTTTGTTTTGAAATGGAATGACATAGAATTTCATTTCTGTCCATGGTCCACACAGAAATCCCTGATTCCATGCCAATTCTAGCTGTCCCAGTATTCCGCTCAGAATCTGTGTCAAACTATCTGCAGGTTATATACATGTATATTTGATTTTCCCTATTACAATAACTTATTTAATAAAAAAAAAACAATTTCCTTGCTATGTTCAAAAATCAGTTAGCAACTTTTTCTCTTTTTTGAAAAAAATCTTAATAGTTTTCATTAAGGTCTAAGATTATAGAATTTTAAATTCTGATTATTTTGATACCCATTGTGTTAAAGAAAACTTTTACAAACCAACTTCAATATATTTTTTATCAATTTTTCTCATGTTTTTATACTTAGCAATTTTTCAGCTTTGCTCAGTAATAAAAAGTCTCACAGAAGTTATTTCATTTATTCCTCTGTCCAAAGAACAGGAATTAACAAGACTTCTTACTTTTCACTTTACAGAAAGGCTTTCTAAGAAAATATTTTTCTTGTCTTTGACTAAAGTCCTGATAATTCCTGTCCTCAGGACATATTTGAAAATAAAAGTCCTGAGATTTCCTGTTTTTTCCTGTTGGTAAGATTAAAGTCCTGACAATTCCTGTTTTGTCCTGTTCAGTATCTTCAAAAGTCTTGAGATATCCTATAAACAGGACTTTTGTTAAGAGGTAGAAAACAAATCCTGGGATAATCCTGGGATTTCCTGGGACTTCCTGAGAACAGGAAATATTTTCTGCACGGGCTATTTACTTTAACTTATCATACCTTTTAAAATAAGAGCTTCATTTTGAACACAATTCTAATTGAATTAGAATGGTCTTGGTCTTCAGGGTTACATTTTCAAGAAATTTTATCTGTTATTTGTCTACCAATTTGGCAAGTGGGGGGGTATTTGTTGTATTATTATTTTTTTGAATTATTATTTATTTTGAAATATATTTATTTATATATTGATCTATACAGATCTTGTATTAATGTTGTGAAAAAATAATATTATATAATATTGATTGATAATATCATTGTGTATTAAGCAGGATATTTAAAAATATGATAGAAAGTTTGAGTTCTTCATTTAGCTTCCAAAAAGAAAGTATGGGTCTATATACACCAGTTTGCATGTTACAATATTATGAATATCATCAGTCTGTGTGTTTGTGTAAATATTAAAATTGCATGCTATTATCCAGAGAAGATAATCCCATGGAGCAATCATATCTTTTTCTTTTGTTTGTCTAATAGATAATTAAACAGAAACTTAAGTGAAAGAATTATTTTTACATGCTCAATATTTTGTTTGGCATTCTTATCATTGAAAAGAAAGTGAGTTGAAAAGAAGTTAATGGGTAGGGAATTTTGAGCTTGACTTTTTACAGAATTATAAGGCAGGACTATTGTATTCGCATAGGCTTTGGCATGTAAGTTGGTGTCTCAAAAGGACTGAAGGGAATGTGTTGAAACTTCACACACTTATTTGGGAGCATAATAGGAGGTCACTGACCAATGTCCATAACTCTAACATGGATTGTGACAGAATTATGGTCCTTTTTTTAAACTGAGGAAATTCAACATTATCCAGGCTTTTGTAAAATCAAGCACTTAGATTAGTTAAGTATGCTGTCCAGCCAACAGCTCTTGTTCTTTCATTGAAAAATCATCACAGTTAACATGATGACTTTTCCTAATAATCTTCCATTACAACCTTTATTTTGAAAGTTTCCTTATCAATTTCACGGGTATCATATTCATTAATTAAAAAAATTAAGTTTGTCAGTCAAGAGTATAGAGCCTCGTCAAATTTAAATGGAAGTATATGGTAGCTTATCTTACCTTACCTTCATAAAGGTTGTTTATTCTGCCAAGAGTCATCTTTTTCTTTTTTTCTTTTTGTTGATAAAAGATGCATGGTAAAGAATTGAGGGTGTTTGGTCTCTTGCACAGTTTTACTGTTAAAATGATCAATATAAATATGTCTGAACACTCAAACAGGATTTGTAATATATGTTAATAAATAAGTGACTTGATATTGGCCCTGTTATTTGTCCGAGGACAGTCGTATTGGCCGAAGGCCGAGGGCCAATACGACTAACCCGAGGACAAATAACGTGGCCAATATCAAATCACTTATTTATTGACAATTTTATTAAATAACTACATGTACTTATAATATTTCACATTTAATCCTCTGATATTTTTTTTCTTATTTTAATTCTCTTGTTTTAATTATTACAAAGAACAACTGTAAAAATAACTACACTGCTTTGTTAGCCAATCAAATTACTTTAAATGCGGGCTTTATATCTATATCACTTCTCGGCCCGAGGCCGAAAAAGTGATATAGATATAGGCACTGTTTTTAGGCAGGCCATCGTGTTATTGAACGTGGCAGATGCTGTTTTATAGGACTAATAACGTATAGTTATTTAATAATATATAAACAAGTACAAGTTTTCTACTGAGTTAGATATTATGTACTAGTATTGTTTAAAGTATGTTAATTTAAAGTGAAATTAAATATAATGAGGAAGAAGTTGAAGACCAATCATTGCAGGTTTAAAACATTTATTTTACAGACTTTGTTGTGACACTTGTAGTAAGTGATTTGTTTTTAACTTTTCGTAGATTTTATATGATTTAATTTGTTGTATTATATTATTTCAGGTCCCACAGGACCGTCTGTAGCTGGATATCTAACAGCTGGTACCCGTTCTGCCATGCCAGATAAACCACCTCCTCTTGATCACCACGAGGACCATCATTGATGATGTCATCAGTGATGTCATAATAGAACGAAAACATGTCTCCAGAATGATGTCATCATAACGGAAAATAATACCAGAAAAACATTTATTCAAGAGATGTTAGAAAATATCAAGAAAGCTTTTATTACATGTTATAATAATAAACAAAATCTTACTTTGTTTGAGTACAATGAGAATATACATTTATTTTACGATAAGTAAAGTAACTATTTTAAGACTAATTGAGTATTATATATTCAGCTATTGGTATGGTCTGCTTTTGATACCATATAATTTAATGTGAGACTAGACTCAGTAGAATTGAACTATGAGATGATCTTTAAAATACAAGAAGTAAAACAAATAGTGTTGCCAAAATACTAACGTATTGCAACAAATGTAATTGCAATGGTTTTTACAAGTTCAAAAGATATTAAAATGACATTTACAAGGGTTTAAGAAAATGAAATATGTGTTTTTAGATTTGCTAAAGGAAGTTTTTATCATGCCCTTCAAATAATTTTGCAATTCTAATTTTCATGATGAATATAAATACTCAGATATTATTTTGAAACCATGTTGTTATTTTGTAATTATTATAAATCAAATGTCTGATTTATATGAAACTAGAATTGTTATGTGTAATGTTACATTATATGTTTAACTGAAAACTAGTCAGCTTCATCTATATCAAATATGTGTTCCATATTATAACATGGCCCAGTGTTCATTAAAGCTGCATTAGTCCAGATAATCCAAACTATTTCAAGAAAATCAAACTTTAAAAAAAAGATTTTAAGAAAAAATGGAAATATTTAAGATTTAATTAATAATTTATATGTTATGTGCAATGAATGACTGATTTTGTCGTATTTGCTACAATATTTTTACTGCATGACTAACACAGTAAGGGCTATTTTTGCAAATTTTAACCTCTTTGCAGTTTGCAATGTGTAAATCACTTGCTTTATTTAAAGGGACTCCACTGATCTTGTTGGGATTGGAAATATTTTTTCAAGATTAACTTTCCATTTGATGTATGTCTAGACAAATAACATGTGTGTAAAATTACAGATCATTTGTTCACTCCATTTTTCTAGAATAATTATTCTAATTGTGAAAAATGACAGTTACAATGCTTTTAACTCAAATCAGGCTTAGGATAGGACAAATAGCATTTTCATTTTTCATTTGTATATTCTTAATATTCCTGTGAATATCTTTTGGTTTTAAGTGCCGAAGCTGATCTATGAAAGAAATTCAAATTTCATAGTTTTAGACTTTTGAACCTCAGTGGAGTACTTTTTAATGTCATAAAATAAAACCATGGTAATGTTTCCCTTCCCATACCCCAGATTTATATGTACTATACATTTTGTAAATATGTAAAATTATATATAGATATTGTATGTTTTATATAATAGATCAATTTTAACTGTCATGTTATTTAATGTCTTGGGGTATATATTTTAATTTTGCGATTTCAAGTAGGGATAAAATTTTATTAGTAACTTGCTATATTTGTTCTAATTAATGCAAATCCATAAGGAAATGTGTTGAAGATTTCATTTGCACGTTTGTCTTGTAATTTCTGTAATTGTTTTAATCTACAAAGAATATTCAAGTTATTTTTATCAATTGTTGACATGAAAATTTCAGGGAAATTGTTTTCCATTCAAGAGTGTGTGAAAAATCATCGTGTGTTTTATTACAAAGGTATAAAGTCTTTCCGTACTATTTGTTATTTTGTACATTACAGTTAAAAATTCCCAGAGGAAATGGCCAAATTGTTAACTTATCTTAAGAACTTTGTCGGTTTCTGACCAATCAATACCTGAAATCTAAAGTTTGAGCTGAGAAAATTTCTGTATATCTTCCATCGTTTCATAGTTGTTCAGTTCCAGCTCTATACAATCACGTACAAATTCATAAATGAAAAAAAAATTTGTTCATTATGGCAAAAGCTAAATAATCTGTTATATTTAATTTCAATGTTCACAAAAAAACTCCTTACTCTGTCTAAATGTGATTGTCCTTTGTCACAAGTGTAGTATTCAGGCAGTCTGACCACTGGCTGTATGCTGTTAGCTAATTAAATTTTCATCTTTATATCATCACAAGTGATGATTAAAAGTTCCAAGATATGGAAGCTGTGATTTAATAAATTCAGTAGGCTAATTAAAGCGGCCATATATTACTCATGAAATTGTAAATACCAAATTTTAAGAATTCATAGCTTAGTTTTAACTTTGTTCAGTTTGTATAAATTGTAAAATTAAATAGTATTTTAATTTATGCTTTCCAAATGTATTTTGTATCTTTTCATGAATCAATAACTTATGATAGATTTGTAAATACAGAAATAGATGAGCTAGTCCCATATTGGATGTAACATGATAATGTCACTTTATTGGAGAGAATTTTACAGCGTTTTTTTTTTTTTACTTTTTTTTTTGGGGGGAAAAATTGGGGGGAAATTTCCCCCAAAAAACCCGGTTCTTTTTTTGGGTGTTTTAATTTTTTTAAATTAAACAGTTTCATTTTGTTGTAACTCTGTATTTGCTGTAATTTATTATTGATCAACAATACTGTGCAGGAAACCATGTACTGGAGGTACTTGTTGCGATGAATTTAATGTAATTTCATTGAAACTTTAAATATATCTGTGAAAACCCTAGATTTCCTTGAATGTCTGTTAAATATATAAGTCTGTAAAACCCTGAATGTTTGTGTATCAGTTTTAGTACAAGAAATGTCTGTGAAACCTTTGTGTATCAGGTTAAGTACATGAAATGTCTGTGAAACCTTGAATAATTGTGTAAATGTATCCTGGCTAGTACATGAAATGTCTGTGAAACAAATGTCTGTTAGTGTATCAGTAATGTCTGTGAAACCCTGAATGTCTGAAATGTCAAACGTCAAGGAGACCATGAATTGTTTAGTTAACCACAATCATTTTTGTAATGTTAATGTATTACATTTTGTATAAGAATTAATCATGTTCAAGAATATATTATAATGTGAACTGTTTGTTATATTAACTTGTTATTAATATTGATGATTATGATTATGGTAAATGAAAGAAATAAAATTTTAAAATATATTTTATTTGTTTGTGATTAAACAAACAGTGTAAAGGTCATATAGACACTCGTGTGCCCCTCTGCATTATTTCAGGCACAATTACTGATGGAGGAAGATTTCAGGTGTCCCTCCGTGCATTATTTCTGGACCATCCCCCTTTGATACTAATAGCTCACCAGAACCGAAGGTTCAGGGTGAGCTATTAGTATCAAAGGGGGATGGTCCGTAGTCCGTTGTCATGCATGAACAATCATCTTCTCTGAAACCGCTGGACAGATTTACTTCAAATTTGGTCTGTAGCATCCTTGTGACAGTCACACTTAAATTTGCTCATATGATTTCAATTGGCCCCTTATAGGGGTCAAGAAAGCTAAAAATAGAAAAACCATTAGACATCTTCTTCAGAACCAATTGGTGGATGATCTAGTCTTTTATCAAATTTGCTCATATTAATTTGATTGGCCCCTTTTAGGGGTCAAGGGAGCTAAAAATAATATAAACCTTTAGACAGCTTTTTCTACAGAACTTATGGATGGATGATCACCAAACTTTGTTATTAGCATTCTTATTGTAATTTTTTATAAAAATTGCTCATATTTATTTGATTGGCACCTTTTAGGGGCTGCTAAAGCTAAAATACCCCAGACCATGGCATTTCTACAAATTATAGTTTAATGAAAGGGAAACAACTCATGTTGGAATGTCTTTCATACATCTGAATGACCTGTTTGCTGATGAAATTATTTGAGGTCATGACCTCTGGCAAGAGAAACTCAGCACATTATAATAAATAAAATTTGCCTGATGTTTCATGTGCATAATTGAATTTTGGTATCAGCTGGGCTGTTATTTATATTTTTGAAAGATTTCACCTACTTTCTTGTTTTTTGATGTACAGACTTGAAAGTTGGACCAGGAATGTAATTTCTGATGTAAATTGAATTAAGATAGTAACTGACTATTTTTGATATTAATGATATCGTTTGACCTTGTTTCTTGTTTTTTGATGTACCTACTTGAAATTTGGACAAGGGGTTTAATTTCTGATCCTGAATTGAATTTTTATATCCACTAGCCAACTTTTGATATTTTTTGATATCGCACAACCTACTTTTTTTTCTTTTTTATATGCCCGAAAGAATTTGGGGCATATTATGTTATACCCCCTGGCGTCCGTCCGTCCGTCCGTCTGTCCGTCCGCACTCACAGGAGAGTAATTATGTGGCTAGAGGGACAATAGGTAACTGTTCTTTCTCTTTGATGTCATTCATTCCGTAATGCTTTTATGTGGCTATTTTCTTTTGTGTGGCTAAAAAGAACAATAGAGAGAACAATAGAGTAGCCACATAATTACTGTCCTGTGAGAACTTCCGTCCGTCCGTTAGCAATTTGGTTTCCGGAGCATAACTTAAGTTCCATGTGGCCCATAACATTCAAACTTCATAGGATGATTGTCCATATTGGGTAGAAGACCCCTATAGATTTTGGGGTCACAAGGTCAAGGTCACTTTGACCTTAAAACTGAAAACAGTTTCCGGAGCATAACTTAAATTCCATTCGACCCACAATGTTCAAACTTCATAGGATGATTGTCCATATTGGGTAGAAGACCCTTATTGATTTTGGGGTCACAAGGTCAAGGTCATTATTACTTTTAAACTGAAAACAGTTTCGGGAGCCTAACTTAAGTTCCATGTGGCCCACAGTATTCAAACTTCATAGGATGATTGTCCATATTGGGTAGAAGACCCCTATTGATTTTGGGGTCACAAGGTCAAAGGTCAAGGTCACTATGACCTTAAAACTGAAAACAGTTTCCGGAGCATAACTTAAGTTCCATTTGGCCGAAAGTGTTCAAACTTTATAGGATGATTGTCCACATTGGGTAGAAGACCCCTGTTGATTTTGGGGTCACAAGGTCAAAGGTCAAGGTCAATTTTACTTTAAAAATGAAAACAGTTTCTGGAGCATAACTTAAGTTCCATGTGGCCCACAGTATTCAAACTTCACAGGATGATTGTCCATATTGGGTAGAAGACCCCTGTTGATTTTAAGGTCACAAGGTCAAAGGTCAAGGTCACTATTACCTTAAAACTGAAAACAGTTTCCGGAACGTAACTTGAGTTCCATTTGGCCCACAGTGTTCAAACTTCATAGGATGATTGCCCATATTGCGTAGGAGACCCTTATTGATTTTGGGGTCAAAGGTCAAGGTCGCTATTACTTTAAAACTGAAAACAGTTTCCAGGGTATAACTTTATTTCTATTTGGCCCATAGTGTTAAAACTTCATAGGATGATTGTCCATATTGGGTAGAACACCCCTATTGATTTTGGGGTCACACGGTCAAGGTTCAAGTAGCTATTACCTCAAAACTAAAAACAGTTTCCAGGGCATAACTGAAGTTCCATTTGGCCCACAATATTCTAACTTTATAGGAGGATTGCTATTTGAAGGAGGTAATACTTTATTTAATTTATGTAATGTCTTACAAATGCTTCATCCTTAGTAAAGAAAAAAAAAACACTTTCGGGCATATAATGCTCCGCCTAGCGGTGCTCTTGTTTTTTTATGTACAGACTAGAAATTTGGACCATGGGTATAATTTTCTGATGTCATATTGAATCATGATATTAACTGACTAACTTTTAATATAATTGATATTAATTGATCTACTTTCTTGCTTTTTGACATACAGACATGGAATTTGGACCAAGGGTGTAATTTCTAATGTCTAATCAAAATTTGACATTGAAGGCCCCTGTGACCTTTACCTTTGACCTAGTGACCCCAAAATCAATAGGGGTCATCTACTAGTTATGACCATTCAAGCAGAATGTGAAATATGAAGACTTTGTTACACATTGTTTTTAAGATGATCAGCGGAAACCATGTGGTCTACCGACGGACGGTCCGTCAGACCGACCTACATTATCGAAACAATATATACCCCGGGCATAACAACTACATATAACCTATCTTTGAGTTTGTAAAATAAAATGATATCTTGTCAGTGAGAACTTCATTGAAGTCAACGAGACACAACAAGATATTTGCCAAACGTTTTATAAATCATGAATGCAGATATTTTTTTTTACTTTTTTTAATACCATAATACACATGTACATTGAACTTTTCAATAAAAGCATTAAAATTTTATATATACCAAAATTATGCAAGATAAACTCATTAATCACTACAGTGGCATAACAGTTTCATGTTACGTCGGTTCTGAATGACTAGGTAACGTGAATCAGTGGGCGAAACAATCTCTTTTCTAATACAGGGATAAGAGGAATGGCAACACTTGTCTAGTAAAAACGTGAAAACACAGACAACGGTTTAATTGAGTCTGTCCATGAGAAAAAAGTGTACCCCCTCGCACCCCTATCAGCTTGAGCAGTATTCAATCTTTAACACTAAAATCAAATATTTGATCAATGATCACGAAGTACTGGGAAACGATCCTTCCTGATCAAATATAGAATACACGTGAAAAGTCACGTGTTTACTTCCTTTATTTAAACTCAGAGAAAAGTAGTTATTTGTGTGTTTCTTTAGAACGGAGTTTTATGTTCGATAAAGTTTCCATTAAATATCCAAAGAAATTATAAGGATATATGGTAACTTTAGACATTTCATTTGATATTGTGAGGTTTAAGGCTTAGAGAGTATATTGCACAGGCTATGCATGGGCAGGTACGTATATTAGTAATTAATATCTGTACCTGGCATGGGTGACTTATGACGGATTTTTCGTCGGGTATATTTTTCGGAGGATTTTTTACTTTTCTTTATGGATAACAAAGTTTACTTTTGTATTTGATTTGTTATATGATACAGTCATATAGTATGATTTTTGTGTATTTAAATCATCTAACAGTTTGATATATATTTTGTTTAATTTGATAAATTAACGTTAATGATATTGCACTATCGACTATGCACTTAAAGATTTCCTGTATGAATAGGCGGAATGTCTCCGGTTAAAAGAAGCCTATATCTATAAATAAACGTATCATATTCACATGACAGTTACTAATTTAATTGCGTTACACTTGCTATGTATAAAATGACATTCTACGATCATGTATAAGGCCATAAATGGAGCTATATTTAATTCTTAATTACGACAAAAAGGAAACAATATAAATGGACATAATCATGATGACTCATAAACAACGTTTAGAGAACCCCTTATATATAAACTGGATAAGAGGGGCTTTATGTCTCGGATATGCCCACGAGGGTTTATACGGCTTTGTAAATGAACTGGCGATGAAACAACAGAAGGAGCTAGTTGCTAAGGTGATATCTACAAACCATTCGTCTGCTCGCAACGTTCCAATCGTTTGTTCCCAATGCACGCTTGATAATTTACTTCCACACCATGCCAGTTGTGGTAAAATATGTATACAGATGATAAAATCTAAATGTTTGTGTAGTTCAAAACATGGAAGAAGAATATGTCCTAATGGTATTTGCAGTTACATGTACGACCTGATAGTGGAGCAACACGTTTATACAGACCCGCTTTGGAAGAATACGGACCCGGCACTTTGGTGTACACATTACTGGAGTATAGCAAATTGTTTCCATACAAGTCAAAGTCAGTCAACTTCTGCCAAAGATACTGACATATCTGGACTTCTTGCAATCATTACAAATAATACATTCATCAGGAATGAGCTATCCATCACACTGTATCCAACCAATACACAGAGTAACGATCCGTTTACAAGAGTAAGTGTAAAAGTGCATGTAGTTATAATAGTCATTAGACATTTACAGTTGATTGAAATTAAATAAATGGAATTTGTTATGTACAAGCTTTAAGTGTTTTCATATGAAATATGCACACAATTTGACCAGCTTGCACATATGTATTGTATTATCTATTACAGGCTCGGGAAGTACGAAATAAAATATTTCACAGTCCAACTCTTGAACTCCAAGAAACTGAAATGAAGGCATATATTGATGTATTTATAAGTATGCTTTCGGATCCAAAGGCATTTCATAATGACAAAGCAGCCAAAAAAGCAATCAAGAATCTTACCGAGGTATGTGGTCATTGATTATTTGATATATAGGTGACCGCTGCTTTAAATTACTCATTAACTTAGGTATATATTTATGGAGTAAATGTTTCTTTTTATACATTTTGAAAGAAAAAATCTTGTCCGGAAACATATAATAATACAAAAAGGGCATATTAATTGGTTTTCTGTCTTGTTATGTATATGATACTTTTAATTCATTGAATTAATGAAATAATTTTGTGTTTTTTCTTTCATTAAAGCTTAAGACATGCCCTTTATTTATTAACATGAAAGACGAATTAGAGTTAAGAAACAATGCTATACATGCTTTAGAAGAAAGGAGAGCAGACGCGTTAAGTGAAATAGAATTAGCTCAGGTTGAGGCTTTAAGGCAAATTGAGTCCAGTATCGACACAAAAAGTGAATCTGCAACAGAGCAATTGGAAAATACACGAGGAGAACTTAAACGTATGTCAACACAGTTGACAAAGATACGGAGCTCTCATATAATCGGACAAAGAAAACAACGTGAAACAGATGATCGATTAAAACATTCTGAGGAGCTTCAACAAGAAATTATGGAGAAGATTAGTCAAAATCAAGAAGTTATAAAGGAGCATATTGAAACAATTGAAAATCGTCAGCTTATTCAGGAGCAGGTCCACAGTCAATTAACTCTTCAAGTAAAGGAATTACAACAGGTATTTATCTGTTTGAACCACCTTAAACATTGTTTATCACTACTTGATTCATTTTTAACACTACCATGTTTCTCATTTCGGCACATATTTTCCTTACCCGACACATGTTTTATCATAAACCCGACAAACGTTTTATCACCAACCTCATGCATGTTTTATAACTTACCTGAAACATGTTTTCAAAAATTCTAACACATGTTTCTATTTAGTGTTGGGTATCGGACTCGAAAATCACTATCGATAATCGGACCACCACAATCGATTGTCTGCCGATAGTATAATTGAGTTTCGCATTTATTATGGCCCTTTTTTCTTCAGGTACCAATCCTTCTATGTATGTTTTTCTACAGTAGTGACCACATTTTGAGAATAAATAAACTCTTGTCTCCAAGATTAAAGTAAGATGTACCCTTTGAATCCAAAACAAAAAACACAAATACCTAATACAACTTTGTGACAGGCAGTTTTTGTATTATACAACTTTATCGATTTTTAAAAGGACTATCGATTATCGCCGATTTTGGGTTGGTCCGATTAGTTATCGATTTTCAGAGACAATCGAGACAACACTATTTCTATTATATATGTTTTATCACACTATTATTTTTTACTTCTACAATCTAACACAATTTAGTATGTATTTTCTGTTTTCATTTCAACAGATAGATTTTACCCCTTTAAAATTAGAGCAAAAACTAAAGATATGTTTTAATATTTTTGAATATGTTAATCAAAAGAGTTGTTGGTTGTCTCATTTATCACCCTTATCTGAATGTAAACATTTCTCTTTTTTTTGCAAAAGAAAATAGACGACATGTCATCGTCCAATAGAAATCTACAGATTGCAAAAGAGGGACATGTTGATTATACGCATACTCTGGAAAGGAAAATAGGTCAGTGATCAGAACTTAAATTTTTCTTTAGGATATGTCAGCATTGACCGTCTTACCAACCTCTGTAAAACAATATTCTATACAATATCACTGTATATTTAGATATAAGTCTCATGTAATAATAACATCTAGGAGTACCAATAGTTTATTAATGCTTAATCAATTTTGAATCAGTACTTCATTAATCTTTTTGTCTTTTAGATTTACAGACAGAATTGATAACCCTGTACCAACAATATTATCTGAAGACTGATATATCACCCCTACTACCCGAGCAAGACATTGATGTAGATGATATATATGTGCCTCTAATTATGGAAAGAGTGTATAAGCCCGACCAGAAAGTGTCCTGTAAAGGAGAACCTGTTTACTTCTACGAAGATATATTTTTCCAAGATGAAAACAAAAGATTTAGAAACATTTTTATTACTGCAGACGCCGGTATTGGTAAAACAACGTTCTGCAGGAAACTTACATCAACCTGGTGTAAAGTTCATTCCCGTAGATGCAGAGATGATATGTTTTCTCTTTTTACAAACAAGTCAAAGTTCAGGACCAGGGAAAATATAGAATCTAGAGATAGGGAAACAGTAAGTAGATTTACATATCTATTTTACATAAGTTTACGGCATACTGATAAAGAAAAGACGATTGAAGAAATGATATGTTCTCAATTACTTAATGACAACTCCAAAGATTTGCTAAGTGTAATTTTAAGGGAACACTCTGATAGCTGCCTGATTCTCTTAGACGGTCTAGATGAATGGGAAGCTCCATACAAGCTACCAAAATCGCCTTTTATCACCAGTGGTCTGCCAGAGAAGGAGGTTAAAATGCCATATGTTACACTGTACACAGCAAGGCCTTGGAAATTAGAAAAGATACGTCCCAAAACAGGAGAATGTGATGTTGAGATAAAATTGATAGGAATTAATTCATCAGATGCCAAGACACTAGCAAAAACTGTAATTGAAAGACTTAATGATAGTTCATATACGTCTGTTGAAGATGTTGACAGTTTTATACAGTGTTTGGATTTGAAATATTTCCAAAATTTAGAGTCAGTTCCTATTCTTCTCAAACTGTTGGCATGTCTGTGGCACGAGCAATATGGTATCGGCTCTTCCTTATGCGGTGTATATTCTTCGGTATTAGAACAGTTAATTCGAATTGCCAAAGAGCGAAATTGTCATGACGAACAATTTGAAGCAACTTTGAAAAAACTGCAATCTAGTCATACTGCTCGGAATTTATTTCCAAATAAAAACAATTGTCAAAATATGATACAGTTTCTAAAAATCCTCGCTAAGTTTGCATTTAAGGCATTGTTAGGAGGTGGGGGAAAGACTAATTTAGTTTTTGAGGGCTCATTCCTTGCAACATTTGGAATATCTGATGAAGAAATGCAATTTTGTTTGAAAACTGGAATTCTTTCTCAACGTTTGTTACTCGGTAGGTCCGTTATAAATAGATGCAAAACAGTTACTTTTATTCATAAGACCTTTCAGGAATATTTTGCTGCTCTGCATGTGGTTATTTCGGAAGACAATGCGGCAGTCGATACTCTATTGGAAGTGTGTAATAATGTGGAAAAGGTCTTGGAAATGGGGAAAGTGATTCAGTTTATTGGTGGTATGAGTCCGCAGATTTTATACAGAATCTCGAAGCATATTGCAAATCTCACTGATAAAGATACTCGTTTTACATCATATAGATCTGTGGATTCATCAAGGATTTATATTTTGATGATACAAGGTTTATTGTTTTCAAGCATTAAAGAGTCGGTTGAATGTCAGAATACTACGTTACCCAAGTTTAAATTGAAAGATGTGCATCTATGGGATGAAACTGTGAATAAATATATTTTGAACTTTGATCCTCTATGTGTAGAATCATTAAGCACGAATTCCGGACTAACAGATGCAGAATTAACTCATATTTCCAAAACAAAATCACTAAAGCTTCTAGTTTTTAGTGGTCTTTTTGGGAAATTTCCGAAAAAAGAGTTCATAGATATACTTAACCGTTCAAGTAGCACATTGGTTTGTCTTGCAGTAAAAACAGGAAGAATCGAAATACCAGAACATTTCCACCTATCAAAATTACAAAATCTAAGAAAGATTTCATTGAACGATGTCATGTTAAATCATAGTACAATTACACGGTTACTTACAGACTCGAATCATTTGTCTGAATGTCACGCTCTCTGTGTGAACTGTTTTAAAGACGAAATATGTCAGTGCAATAGTACCATAGCAACTGAAATAACTACTTCGGATTTAGTCAGTACAGAAATGAAGTATTTTGACAGCAGATTTGGATGTGGTATGCTTCGTCATATAAGCAAGGCAGATCGTCTAGAGGAACTGCGTGTGTTTAATCCAAAGGACCCGGAAATAGTGGGTGATATTATGAGAATTATCAAGTCGTGTAAAGAATTAAAACACATGCAACTCCATGGTGTTGGATCTGAAATAATGTCGCTTCCTTTTCCATCAGACCCGCGATGTTTGCGCTTTGTTCAACTGAGTGAAATACGTGCACGGAAGGAAACAATATTAGAATTCATTAAGGCAGGGCAAAGTGTACATGAGTCATGTGTCTTCAAATTTGAAGATGTCACATTAACATCGGGTCAAATTGAGGAACTGAAGGAAGAAATAGGACAATTAGATATATTTCAAATAAGTTCATTTCAGAAACGTTTCAAAGTGAAGGGATCCTTCAGACGACCTAAGTACAGGAGCTCTTTTGGTTCAGAGTCGGTGTTCTCAATGATTCTTGTGAAAAAATAAAGGAACATTTAAAATCTTGCTACATCCAAAGAAGGATTGTTTTTAACATTAGATGAGAATTGTAGATAATTTGAAAATTATCGTTTTTTGGTTTGGGTTTTACGCCACACATACACAGTTAAGGTCACAAGACACCTTTTAACTTAAGTGGAGAAGAAAACCCTTAGGTGCCCCTCCGTACATATTTCAGACACGAGCATGCCTTTGCACCGACGTTCCGTAAGCTAGCTGGATAGCTTATCTTAAGTCTCTGGCGGGTTTCCTTTCTCTGTCGTCACAATAACTTAACCCCAGAAAAATGAGCCAATCAATGGGCATTCTCTGGAGTGCGGGTAACTTATACCTGTACTCCAGTTAATGCACTCTACATGTATATGTTTACGATTTAACATTTTCAACAGAAAGGTCCCAAACTATGATACAATATTATTTGTTTATAGACCATATGTATCGTTATAATGGCCACCGGTAACCTTTAACCATAACCCTGCTAAATTTCTTAAATAGTCAAGCTTCATTTTAGGAACTGTTCATAATCATTTTAGTGATATGTAGATGCAGGAAGCCAATAGCAACAAGGTTAATTAGCACGTTAATGGTTAAAATTGCCTGAGTATGTAATTACATGTACAATGTTTATGTTATGCGTGATAATGATTTTCTAAGTTGTCAGAAAAAATATTACTGTTAAGCCATATAAAGATACATATGCATGAAAACCTAGCAGGTTATTCTAAACTTTAAAACAATATTTGCAAAGGCTGAGCAGTTCCGATTACAACCCACATATTGTTTCGCGAAGTTAATTAGTAATTTAAGCTACAATATTGTACGTCAAAAAGGTATTAATTTTGCGTGCTCTTTTGTTTGAAGAGAATAAATATGTACCAACTGATTTTATTAGATTAAAGTGCATTTTAAATTCTGTTCAATCACTGTATATGAGCATGGACTTGATTTTATTGTACACCAAAATTGCAACGGTTATTTCATGTAAAAAAAGAGTTATGTACATCAACATCGAATCATACTAGTATTTGCCAATAACCTGACATACACTAGCAAACTTTCGATATTTGAAGTACCGGTAATACACTTATATTGTCGTGCATTGAATCGTTTATACCGTATAGAAGGAAATACATTGTATATATTCTCTAGAATTGATAAAGTTGTACAAGAGATACAATCTCTAACTAACAGAGTCAGTGATATGGAACTTAATGGAATCTCAGCACGAGGAGTTCAAGATGGTGATCATGTAACTGGTACTCACGTGCAGGCCTCGTTTAGACCAGAAAATGCGGACGACTCGGACATATCCGTTATCGCATATGGCGTCACTCAGGAACCAGAGGAAACACCCGAGTGTCTCATACGCAAGGCACAAAATATCATTGACGCGCTAGGGAACGGAGTCGGAACAAATGTATGTATTCAAAAGGTCGTGCGATTTAAAACCCGGGTCGCTGGAAAGCCGGGTCTTGTTAAAATAACACTTAGCAAACCTGATGAAAAAGTGCTGGTTTTGCGCAGTAAATGGTCGTTGAAAAATTCCAGGGATTATACAGAAGTATTTCTACAAAGTTGCAGGAGTCGCGCTGAACGAGATATTGTTCAAACTGCACGCGCCGTACTACGACAACTGCCCGACGGCGGGAAAAACTTCCGTGTAGATGGTAACGGACGAATCGTCCCTCGACGTGCACGTGACGTAAACTCGGAACCAATGGAACAACATATTGACTAGGGTATTTCCCGACCTAGTGACAAAATCCGTTTTGTACATTTGAACGTATGTGGATGGACTACAGAAAACTCTAATTTGCGTATCTGAGATCTCTATTGTTGAAAGTCTCAATGCGGATATAATCTCTCTTTGTGAAACACATCTCGCAAACGATGCAGTGATCGAAATGCCAGGTTTTGTATGGTATGGATTTAATAGACGTGAAATCCATCGAAATGCTCCTATAAAGCCTCTGGAGGAGTCGGATTATTAATAAAACAGTGTATTGTTGATGCATTTAATATTGAAATCATAGACAAATTATTCGATGGAATATTAGGACTGAAATTCGTCAATAAATCGACCGAAATTAACTTCATAGTATATTCCTGTTATTTGCTGCCTGAAAATTCCGCCAGGGGAAGGGACGCCCAATCGTTCTTTTCTCACCTACTGACCCAGATTTACAGTAATTATGAAAGTGACTATATCTTTGTCGGGGCAGATTTAAACGCTCGAATAGGGAACCTATCGGACAACATTGACTACTGTGATCTCATATCGCCTCGTGAACCGTTAGATCTCAATGTTAATCAGCACGGTCGTGATTTCATTGACTTTCGCATTGACTCGAAATTTGTGGTTTTAAATGGGCGGTTTAATTCTATAAATCTGGACAATTATACTTCAATTAGTAGTAAAGGTCGCGCAGTTGTAGATTACTGGTTTGTACCGCAAGACATTCTTACAAAATGTACCAATTTTCGCGTTACAACAATGCAAGAGATCTGCGATCAAAATCTACTATATAGGTTACATGGCGAACGCTCTAGGCTACCTGACCATTCGGCCATTTTTATGGAATTTGACTGTCACGGTTACGTGCTTCTAGCCTATCAGACCCTTTAAGCACAAATGCCCACGAAAGGCGTTTTAAATTACGCAAAATACCCTCAGATTTTATGGATAATGACCGGGCTAGAACAGCTATCGATAATTTAATATCAGAAATTGAATTTTCACGGGAAAATCAAAGCGACATTAACACTGTATATGATTAATTGTGTGACACAATCATGGACGAAATGATTATGGTTGTCCCAATGTACAATAGTAAAAGTAAAACACGAAAACGCCGAAAGCAAGGTAAACCATACTGGAACGATGATTTGCACAAAACTGTTGGAACGAAATGCGAGCCAAAGAGAGACAGTTTTTGAAATATATCGGCAATAATCAACAAAAACGTTATTTACGCAGTCTTTACATTGAAGCGCGAAATAAGTTCGATAAACTACTGCGGCAAACGGAAAGGGTATATCGACAGCTGCAAGCAGTTGAGTTGGAGGAGATATCAATATCGAACCCAACAGAATTCTGGCGTAAAATCAAAAGCCTTGGGCCCAGAACCAATAAAACAATACCAGTTGAAGTTATTGAAAATGACAGTGTTATAAGTGAAGAGAGGCGGGTTTTAGAAAAATGGCGAATAGACTTCAAAAACCTGTATAACCGATGTGAAAATAGTGATTTTGATGACGTACATTATGACCGAGAAAAATTACATAAACAATACTCGAAATGAACATGCAAGACCCATTATATGAAAGCAATATTACAATGACTGAAATTTCAAATATAGTTATGCAAGCGAAAAAGTACTCATCCTGCGGCCTTGATAACATACCCTATGATGTTTTGAAAAATGCACCAGTTATTGCCACTTTACAAAAACTATTTCAATTGATCTTTGACTGTAGCATCATACCGTCTCTCTGGCGTAAGGCGATAATTTGTCCGATATTAAAAGATCAAAACACAGACAAACGGATACCGTTAAACTATCGTGGGATTAGATTAGTAAGCTATACACCTCGTTTGTTAATAAATGATCTCATCACATGGAGAACGCGGCCGACGAAAGAAAGAAGGGTCACGCAACGAAAATAATTGGAAATAAACTTTTATTAAACAACAAACCATTCCAGAGATTCATCAACGGAAAAGAACAAACTTATAGCCACGATAGAAGAAACTAGTGGTGTCATGAGAATGATATAAAACTGTTATCGTGGAATATACACGGATTAGCGCGAAAAATCTCGGACTCAGATTTTATAGAATTATTAAGTGACTATGATATAATATTTTTACAAGAGACATGGATATCAGACAAAACCCATTTAAATTTGGATATTAATGGATATAAAAGTTTTCATCTTTTTGGAAATAAATCATTAAATACTACAAAAGGTCGTTATAGCGGCGGTATAAGTATATATTACAAAGACATTTTAGATAAACATATTAAAATTGTTGAAACTATTCAAAATGGAATAGTACGGGTGAAAGTAGATAAACAATTATTCTGTTTTAATGAAGACGTTTATTTGTGCTGTACTTATATAACACCAAATAGTTCCACGGTAATTAACACAGACAATTTCTCCTTTTTTGATGAAATTGAATCTGGTCTAGAAAAGTATAAACTGTTAGGTAAATGTTTTATTCTAGGAGATTTAAATAGTAGAACCTCAAATCAATCAGAAATATTATCATATGATAACTACATTGATCAAGAAAATGGACTATCATGTAATGTTGAAATTCCCCCGCGTGTATCTAAAGATAAATTAATTGACAGCTTAGGTAGACGTTTAATTGAATTTTGTCAAACAACATCGTATATTATATGTAACGGGAGGCTCCATAGGGACAAAGTACATTTTGTTCAATTAACGGATCAAGTGTTGTAGATTATCTACTTATACACATGAATGATTTGAATTGCATTTCCGACTTTTCAGTCGCCGAACCCAACGAATTTTCCGACCATAACGGATTAAGTTTTAATATTCCTTGTAATAAAGTAAATGATAACTCTAATCAAACTGAACAATGTGATACCATTATTAAATGGGATGAAAATAAAAGGGAATCATTTTTAAACCTTCTTCGATCAAAAAGGAACATTTTAAATGATGTAAATGAACAGATTTGTAGCAACGAAAATGTTAATATTATTGCAGATAAGTTTACTGAAATTTTACACGAATGTGCATCTAATGTCTTCAGCGTTAAGCATAAACACAATAATTCTTGTAAAAATAAACTTAAACAGCCCTGGTTTAATCAAGAGTGCTATAACGCTAGACACAAAATTTTAAGAGAAGAGAAATAAATTTGTAAAAAATAGATCAAATGAACAATTTAAAAGGGAATTGATTTTTGAAAGAGCAAATTATACAAAAGTTAAGAAGAAAAATAAACGAAAATACAATTTCCAACAAAAAGACAACTTAAATAAACTAGGCAAATATCAACCAAAAAAGTTTTGAAGCAAAGTTAAAAAACAATACGCAAAGAAACAGTCAGAAGCAGATTCTTTAAACATGAATGAGCTTTATGATCATTTTAAAAATTTATACAGTACTGAAACAAACAGCCGATCTGCAGATATAAACTATAACATATATGACGATGACCTTGATAAAGAAATTGAAATGCAAGAAATCAGAAAAGCTGTTTTTTTCGCAAAATGATAATAAAAGTAGCGGGATAGATTCTCTTGTGGCAGAAATGTATAAATGTTCATTTGATGAAATATCAACAACACTTCATTTACTTTTCAATAAAATATATGTCAGTGGAGAATATCCAATCTCGTGGGGGGGGGGGAGGCATAATAGTACCAATCTTTAAGAGCGGAGATAAGGAGGATGCAAAAAATTACAGGGGTATTACATTGATAAATATTATCTCAAAAATCTACTCACAAGTTCTTCTAAATCGTTTAACCGAATGGTCCAAAAAACACCAAAAAATTATTGATAATCAATACGGCTTCCAAAAAGGTAAATCTACAGCCGATTGTATATTTTCTTTTGAATTCTGTTATTGCTAAAACACTCTCTCAGGGGAAGAAACTCTACTCAGCATTTGTCGATTTTGAAAAAATGTTTTGATAAGCTAGAAAGATCGTATATATTCATTAAACTTTTCCAAGAAAATGTCAGCTCTAGATTTGTTAAGGCGATTCAAAGTATGTACATGTCTGTGAAAGCGGCAATTAAATACAAAAACTCTGTATCCAACTTTTTCGAATCTAACATAGGCGCAAAACAAGGGGAGCCCAGCTCTAGCTTACTTTTTCTCTATTTCGTAAATGATTTAGTTAATAATATAAATAATGATATT